GACATGTTTACTGTTCCAAAATGTTCTATATGTTTCTTAAAAATAAAATGTGTTCAGTTGGAAAAAAAGTAGTTTTTTTACCCAGACATTTAAAAATAACATATTTTAGAGCTGTAATCGCAATACCGTGATATTTTTTATCTAAGGTTATCATACCGTCAGAATCTCATACCGGCCCATGCCTACGTGCCTCCAATCTTCTGATGAGAAGGGTTGAAGAAAATCGGCATGCAAGTTCACTGCAGTTATCTACAGAAAGCCAAACTGGGGTGACTATTTCCCGTGACACAATACGGCATACACTGCAGAGGAATGGCATGCAGGGGTGTCGTCCACGAAAGGAGGCTCTCCTAAAGCCCAGACACAAAAAAGCCCACCTAGAGTTTGCCAGGGCCCATGCTGACAAAGATGAAGACTACTGGGACTCTATACTCTGGAGTGATGAGACCAAGATAAATGTTTTTGGAACCGATGGCTTCAAAACTGGTAAAAACTGAAAAATGTGTAATCTAAGTTATATTATTAACCTTACTTTCATGTTATAAGTTAAACAGATGTTATATTAAACTTAGTCTTGTCAACATTTTGGAAATTGATTTTGTGTTCATTGAGATAGTGTTTAAAATGTTACTTTTCAAAGGGGGTGTACTCGTTTACGCTGAGCACTGTAAGCTAAAAATACAACACCTGTCCTGAAAATCTGTTTAAATCACTGAAAGCACTGTAGGCCAACACTGGGTGCAATCACTGTATAGAAAATAAATATACAAGTAATATAAACTAGAAACTGTTGCTGCATCAGAGAGATAAAAACCAAACAAAGACTTCATAAGAATAAAAACTGTACAAAATGTTTTCCTTCAAAGTAAACAAAGTCAGGTTCCCGGTAACTGCAGACTAAATGTTCACTGTAACTATGGTAATACTGTTATTCTATCAAGACCACTAACTTTTATTATGACCCACTATATTGAGCAATATCCAGTTTCACAAAAGCAAACCAAAAGAAACCCTCTCACAACCTTTTAGTATAATCTCAAAAAACAAGAAACTGCATCTATAATGCTATGAATTTACAAAAATGGGGAACATATTGAGAAGCTTTTTTATACAGACAGAAGCTACAAAAAAAACAGGGTTTTAAAATGTACCCCTGCTGTTAATATCACCATTAATGCAAGACTCCGATAAAACAAGATGAGGAACTCAAGCAACACATGAAAACTGTGTGACTGGGTCTCCTTTGCATGACTAGAACTATTTATTCAGTCTTTTTTTAAGTGGCAAAGTATGTGATTCTTCATGCTATTTCATAGCACCATTTTCACCGTTCACTCCATCAAGAAATAAGAGCTCAAACTGTTTATCAACATCCCTGAGCTAGACTGCTCTCCCAGGCTCCTCTGAGGCTGATCCTGTCAACCTGTGCCTCGCAACAAAGTGCACCACAGCACTTCCCAGAGGGGCCCATTGCGGCAGTGCCTCTTGACGCCAAGGTGGATACAGATTTCAGAAGATAGGGGATTATGGGGGACTGTTTTAATTCCTTCCCCAAGGATTGCTGTGTATATCTATGTTGAGCAGCTCTGCCATCAGCAATAGCAGGACACACAGCCAGAACGTGGGAGAATAACTATAAACATCACTTCAAATTCACCACACAAATTACAGTTCATGAAATAATGTGTTTTCAAAAAATGGCAACAATAATCCAAGTTACATCTAAGAGGCCAAAAGGTTGTTTTTTTTTGTATTTATTTACGGTACTCTCATTTTGTGTCATGGAGAAGGATCACAACTGTGCACTCTGAGATTTTTTTCCATATTTTTTTTTAAATTTCTTTACAAAAAAATAAATAAAAAATTTATAAATGTTATCAAACTTCAGCTGAATCAATTATTTGAATACAATTCTAATCAAATCTGATGAACAGTTGCTACCGGAAACTCGATAACAACACACAAAACATCCCAATATCACATAAGTACTCCTCAAGAATACATCTTAAATCATCCGATATTACATTATACAGTTCTCAATGTCTATGCAGTCTAATGTTACAGTAGACTGATGCAATTGCAATTGTTTTCCAGTGGTGATTTTATAAATAGTTTTTAGCTAAATAGGCTATTCAGTCACGAATATAAATCTGAATACAATAATCTGCAGTGTAACATAAAAATAGATACTGTTATGGAACATAATTAATTTATATTTATAATGGAAATAATCCTTGACAACAACACACATAAACAGACGATTTGTAGTTCATTTCTGACTAAAATATGTCTTACTGACCAAAACAATTGTAAATATTCAGCTTCACATATCTCCACAGGGGAAGTAAAACCAGCTGTTTTATTACATGCTGAACTTCCCATTAACAGTCCTACATCATTAATTTCAACTAGCTATTCTACAATTTTATAGAATTAACTAAAACATATCATCCAAACTACTGTGACAGACAGTCTTTCCCCCAATGCTACTGAAGACCATGAGTAAATAAACAGAGATCAAGCACAGATATCAATCCAATACCAAGCCTAAAATCACAGTAATTCCTTCACCAGGCATGACATCTTATGTTGGAGAGCTGAAACACTTATTATTAATACATACAAAATAATCCTTTGTAGAGGCAGATGACATTATCTTTTAATGAGCCGTTGAGACAAATGGCATAGCATTTTCATATCTGGATGAAATATGAAGACAACTGCCACTGGGAGCAAAATTAGTAACACTGCCTCTTATTAGTATGGGTTTATTTTTCCAAACAGGTGATAGAAATTCACAGTGAAAGAGAAGATGTTGTGAACAAAACACTGTGCAGTAGTTTGAACCATGGTGTCATTAATAATCCAGTCTCTTTTATTTCAGATGTCACCGATTTATGCGAGTCAGCACCACATATGTCATACTCCCAGAGGGGGCGCATTAAAAACGTTATTGGACATGCAAAGGCTGGAATCTGATCCAGCTGGCTGTTCAAGAAAGCAAGGGCTGCTGACCCCATTCCCTCTCAAAATGACCAAACGAAACCAGCTTTTCCATTTCCATTTCCATTCAAATAACAACATCTGGTTCGATAACAACCCCATAAATCACAACACAGACTACGACGGATTGATAAACAACAGAAAAGGAAAAGCACCGATGGCATGTTGATGTTGTCGTTTTCACTTTCTTCAACACATCAGCTGACAGCGCTCGAGACTACAAAACACATCTAAGATACATTTAAGCGATGGTGACAGTTGATGTTATGTATCAGTAGCCCACTGGGCCTGGATGTGCTGGGACAAACACACACATACTGAAACTGCTAGCAGCTGGCTATTAGCCTCTCCAGTTAGTCAAACAATAGCTTCAACCAACTGAAATGTAGCGTTAAAACAACCACAAAGAGCGCCTCTTACCTCTATAGACGTCAGGAAACTATCCCTCTTGGACTAAACCCCCTTTCCAGGGTACAATGTTCGTCGACAGAAGTAAAAAAAATAAAAATATATATATATAGTATTGGGGAAGCGAGTGAACGTCAGCGGAGACTTGTGTGAAACTGACAGTCACACAAACCCGAGAGGGAGGGAGGGAGAGAGAGAGCAGAGAAGAGAAGAGCAGAGAGGCCCAGCGCTTTAGCCTCCCCGCTAACTGACGGATATTTCGACGATTCCGCTTTAAATACGAAGATACGCGCGCGAGTTACAATATCACACGTTAAACGTCACGGCGAGCTGAACGTACGGAGAGGACATTTTATTTAACGGTCATATGTGGCCAGATTTCCTCCCCGTTCGCCCTCAAGTGCGAGTACCCGTTCCTGCCGATCCGAGGCGTCCATTAGAGCGCTGCTCTGTGTGTGTGTGTGTGTGTGTGTGTGAGAACAGCGCCGCCGCTGCGCGCGAGCGAGGAAGTGTTTCGACATTTTACGACATTCTCGCTTCCTTGACGACTCTCGAGGAGCATAACATTAACTAAAGGCTTGTTGAGATTTGGATCGTGAATAATCCATGAATGACCATAATCGCTGAACACCGACTCTTTTGAATCGATATACATTTTAGTGCGGTTTGTGAGTCTTGGCTAGTGTGTGTGAGTTCCTGTGTTGTGGTAGTTGGTCGCCTCATGCTCTCTAGTGGCTGAATGTGGCAGCGCTCGTGTAACTCTTACTGCACACAACTACATAAACTGAATGTGCTTGTTTGAATTTATGGGTTTGTCGTTATTTAAATATAAGAAAACATTAAATTTTCTTACAAATAACACTACACAGAATTACCCTTTCTATTAAAAGCAATGTTAACGTTTTTAATAGTGTTTTTGGTCCGGTGATGGGGTACCGGTTTTTATTCATTTTTAAGTTGATGACACCATTAAACCCTGGGGATCGTTTGTACATGATTTTTCTCCAAAAATGTACTATTAACTATTACTATTCTGTATTTCAGTGTTTTCAATCTTTTGAATCCGCTCACCAAAGATTCTTTCACTCTCCAGCTCTGCAAGTTGTGAATATGCAGTATTTGTGTGTTCTGAACGGTTTTATTATATGCTTTATTCAGTAGCAAACAATAGTTTCATATTCAAATGGTTTAGTTTTTAAAATGTGTTTAGCCTTTACAAAGCAAAAGTCTTTTAGCAACAGAGACTATTATCAACAGAATACTACCTATATGACTGTTCCATTAATAATTATTAAGGAATCAGACAACCTGTAAATAAGTTCATTGTCGTGTTTTACAGAGCTGCACGTGAAACCGGAGATGAAGGATGATTGATAAGCGTCCCTTCAGTTTTCAACCAATCGACGTCGAGTATTCCCTGAGGCGGTGGCCAATCAGAGAGAGCAGAGCGGTATTTGAATCACCAGCAGGCCTTTGTACTGTACGGAATGTTTTGAGTTGATTTGGACGAGGAACACGAAGCGAAGCGAAGCTAAACGGTCTCTTTTTTTAAAAAAGCACGTGCGATATCTGCGATACGCGTATTCGCCATGGATATTCACGCTTTGGTGAGTAAAGCCTAAATTTTATTTAATTTTTACAAGGAAAAAAATATCATTTTAATGATCAAAGATGAGTTGAGGAATACAATTTGACTACAGGGGACTTTAATCTGTATGAGGTACAGTGTAAAAGCAGTTAACACAACAGTATACATGGTCTTCATTTCTAGGTTTCTTTAAATGGGAAAATGCCCTTTTTATTTTTTCCCTTTCAGGTCCAGCCTGTGACCCGTAAGAAGCTCCAGCTAGTTGGTGTTACTGCAATGCTGATTGCTTGTAAATACGAGGAGATGTATGTGCCGATGGTTGGGGACTTTGCCTACATCGCTGACGATGCCTTCACAAAAGCTCAGATCCGAGAGATGGAGATGCTGGTTCTCAGTGAGCTGAACTTTGAGCTCGGACGTCCTCTGCCCCTGCACTTTCTGCGGAGGGCTTCAAAGGCTGGGAATGTAGGTTCAGGTTTTATGATCCCTGATGTGGTTTGGCAGATTTGTTAAAGCTTCAGCTGTTGAGTCATCCTTGCCGCCCCCCCCCCCCTCAAAAGTGAGTTTGGTTAGTATTTTTATTTATTTATTATTGTTATTTTTAAGAGAAAGTAATTGAGCACTGAATACTTTAACTGAGCAGGGACACATTAAACTGATCAAAAGTAAAGACAATTATAATGTTACAAGAAATACTGTATCCCTATATATATATTTTTTTTTTTTTAAATGCATTTAAAAACTACATCTGCTCTTTAGGCTGATGCTGAGAAGCATACACTTGCGAAATATTTCCTTGAACTGACACTACTTGACTATGACATGGTCCACTTTAACCCTTCGGAGACTGCAGCTGCTGCTCTGTGCCTTTCTCAGCTTGTACTTGATGGCCAAAAATGGGTAATTGTCTTTTTAATGTCCAGTATTTTCTGTGTCTGACCTCCCCCACCCCTGCTTCAATTTAATTTTATCGATCTTTTAATTCCTCCTGTTCCAGTCACCAACCCAGCAACACTACTCTTCCTATGATGAGACCCACCTGAAGCCTGTCATGCAGCATATTGCCAAAAATGTGGTTATGGTCAATGAAGGGCTCTCAAAGCATGTGGTAAGCAGTTTATTGGCTTGTGCATGGGGATTTGGTTCTACTGAATGCTCTGCTGATGTCCATCTTTTGCAGACCGTGAAAAAGAAATACTCCAGCAGTAGGCTCATGAAGATCAGCCTTCTTCCCCAGTTGAAGTCGTCACTTGTGAAGGATCTGGCTGCTCCTCTGCTGTCCAGCTCTTGAGGGCTTTTGTGGGAATGGACACTGAAACCTGCACTTTATTTTGTGTCAGCCATTTTGGGAGATGGACTGCTGCTTTTTAAACTGATGTACATATTCTTGGATTCTATATAAATAAGCATTTTCTACTTTTTATGAAGATTACATTTTTAATCTGAGGGTTTAAATTTGTTTTTTTTGTAACCGTTTTTATGAACTTGCTGGAGCTGTATTTTAATTTTTTTGCTTTACCTTTATTGGGCAAATTTAAGATGGAATCAAATAAAATCCAAAGATTTAATACCATTTTCTGACTTGTTTTCATGTTGACGGTGACATGTTAGACCTGTCTTGTTGAACTTGACTGCTCTGACTTTGACTTCCTGGATTATATGCACACGCTCTTAAATATTAATAACTGCTTGTACTTAACTTTGTAACTAAGTCTCTTGACCTGCTGTCAATGATGTGGCACGATTGTAATCTTAATCCGTTTAATTTCCAAAGTGAAGGGCAAGTTTTAAAGGCATTGTGTGTTAAGGATCCTCAAAGGCAAATGGTTTCGTTTCAAGAGAGCAACCATGCATTTGTTTTACTTTTGTTCTTCATGATTCTCAGTTAATCATTTTATTCCATTTAATCATATGTATAGTAATTTATGCCATTTATATTTTCATTGATTAGTCATAACTAATATTTGCTGCTCTTCCCCCCCCCCCCTGTTCAGAAAGGCTGTTTGTCTTCATGAATAAGATTTCACAAGATTTGTGGTGTGTAACACTACTTGTTGCAAAGAAAAAAATAACTAACAATTCTTCTCTTCCGTGTTACTGTCTGCCGCCATTCACGAGAGTACCACAATGCATTTGTTGAATAAAGTCATTATTTGTGTTTTCTTTGCGCACAAAGTATTCTCGTAGCTTTATAAAATTATAGTTGAACCACTGATGTCACATGGACTATTTTAATTATGTCCTTACTACTTTTCTGGGCCTTGAACGTGGTAGTAACATTGTCTATGGAGAGTCAGAAAGCTCTGATTTTATCAAAAAATGAAAGATGAATGAAGGTCTTACGGGTTTGGAACGACTTGAGGGTGAGTAATTAATGACAGTTTTAATTTTTGGGTCAACTATTCCTTTAAGAATAAAACTGCCATTTTCAATAATTTTCAGTTGCTAATATGTATGTTCAAAATACTTTTTCTTAAAAGTCTTGAAAGGCATGTTCTTGCAATTCACCACATAACTTATTAAAATAAAGATAACCTCCAACTTGTCTTAAGTACCCAAAATTAAGATGTTGAACAAATTTATTGGGTGTCCCCCCAAATAAAGTTCCAAATGGAAGTATAATTCACATTAAATGTATCATATAGGAAAATAAAATGAGGGTAAGATTTACAGCATAAAGTTTTAAATTGGTTGTATTAGACATGGCAACCTCATCAGTAGAATAGTATACAATCAGACACCAACTGTCACTTTATTCTTAAGAAAATATAGAAACTTCTTAACATTTTTTCAAGAATTGCACTTTTGAACATTTTTATGAATTCCTAAGAATTTATCTGGAGAACCTTCTTTTTAAGATGTTCATGGATCCAGTCTCCGATTCTTCACTGACTAGCACCTTAGTGAATGTTGGTGTGGATGAGCTGACCAGTACACTGTATATTGTCATACTGATATAATATTTCATAACTATACCGTAACAATGTGCTGATTGTGTCTTTAATGCATGGAAATACCACTGTAGTTTAAATTCAGACAATTTTACCCAACTGTTTGCATCTTTTGCACAATGATACATTCAGCACTGTTCTGAGATTATGAACTTCAAAAGCATACAAACCATGGTTTTCAAGAGCCGTAGTGCATTTTATACATTTGGGTTTCTGTTAATTACAAGGTGAAAGGCAATAACATGCAAAACGGTCCTTAGCAGCAAAACATTCCCCACTAAAACCATTGATTTGGACATGACTTCAAGAAATTGGAAAAAATAAAATGAAATAAAAATCATGAACAGCAGGTGACCCTAAAAGGCAAGCACCTTAATTTACATATACAATTGATCCATTTCAAAAGCAAAATAAAAAAGCCTGTTCCCACATAAAATGGCTACTTCATCTCTTCAAGTGAATTAAGATCACCTTAAATATCAATGACAGATGAACAAACCACATCAGAAATAAACTGTAGAAAGCTATAATATAAATACAATAAATAGTTTGATCAGTGCTCACAGGGACAGTTCAGTATTCAGCGCCCTGGAGAAATGTTTCGTGCCCGACCGGCGTCTGCCCGCATGCCCTCAAGTGTCTGTGGCACCAGAACGCAGAGCTTTTGAGGAGTTTAACCACAGCCATGGCACACCTCGCTCCTTCCTTCATTATCTCAGTTTTCCCTCCTTTTTTGTCCTTCTGTGTCTAACAAGTCTGCGCCCCTCATTAAAGGCAGAAGAGGTTAGATCTTAGCCACGTAGTTGTTTGGGAAAAGGCCTTGTTTACCTCTCAGCCTCCCTGTCCACCATCCAGAGGCATCTAGACATAATGGACAGATATCAAAATGAAATGATCATGGACAGATATCAAAAATACATTCTGCCACAATAAAAAAAACTTTTACTGTATATTATGTAAAACAAGCATTTTGTACCCTCTCACCTTCCTTAATGATGTCAATAATGTCGTCTGCGTTGAAACTTAGCTCATCTGTGTCTTGGGCGTCGTAGGCATAAAGAGCTTTACACTGAGGCACCTGGGGCTTCGGCTTGGGGGTTGGTTTGGGACGGCCACCTCCTGGAGTGGGCCTGTTTGTTGACTGTCTGTGGGCCCTTGGAAAAAAGAATCACAGAGGACATTAACTGATGGAGTTACATGTGACATTTCTAACACTGCAGCAACCACAGGAACATGCTTCTACAAGTGAAGGTAGTCAACTAGGCTTGCTGTGAGAGGGTTAGCTGTCTGATTTTGTGGTGTTAGTTCATGTGTTCCCCACTAGGTGGCGACAGATTCACATTTATGATAGTGGCACTGTCAGTCTGAACTAGTCTTCATTTCCAAATAGACTTCATTCAGTTGATCCTCCACCTCACTTTTAAGCCCAGAATTGTTTGTTTTTTTCCAGCTGTTGCGACGAAGGGCCATTTGTTAGCCCTTCAGCCTTCATGATGCGTCTGAGCCGACCCGCATCATGACTACAACAGAGAAAATGTTAGAAAATGCCCAACCCAAAGTCCTTAACCTTGTTGAGGCTCAAGGAAAAACCAGTCTCTCATATATATTCACAATCTGAGGTCTATTCAGTAACATACACTACCATTCAAAAGTTTGATGCCAGTAATTTTTTTACAATTCTTTTTAAATACTTTTATTCAGCAAGGACACATTAATTTGAGCACAAGTGACAGTAAATACTCGCATTGTTACACAGACATTTTATTTCAAACAAATGCCGCTCTTTTATCATGGTTTCCACAAAAAATATGAAGCTTCAAAATTATTTTCAATACTGATAATAATAATAATAAATGTTTCTAGAACATCAAATATCTGTCATGTGACACTGAAGAGTGGAGTAATGGCCATCACAGGAATAAATAACATTTGAAAATATTTTCAAAAAGAAAACAGTTGTTCTAAACTGTAATAATATGTCACAATATGGCTGTTTTTATTTGATTTTTGATCAAATAAATGCAGCATTGGAGAGCGCATTCAAAATATTACCGCAGCAGCTAAACTTTTGAACAGTAGTGTAAAACAAACTTTAATCTATAAAATGTGATAAGGAAATGGAAAAACAAAACAAGACTGAGAGGATGCGATGGCGTCTTTGAAGTTGGGCATCTCTGGGGTTGATCTATCGCTATTCAAATGAACCACAACCACTGCCACCTAACAGAAACTACACACATGCTCAGACTCACATTCCTCCATTGTCAGACGGTTGTCGATTTCTGCTATGGTAAAGAGATACATGCATGTTACTTTCAAATGCAGATCACTATTTTGTTTGCATGGATAAAGTCTGGTAGTTGAGCTCCAGCTATGCGTCTAGCAATCAGACTAATGTTTATCTTATCTTCAGTAAAATGTTTGTTGTTAGCTATATAATTTCAAGTGTGTGTGTATGTATACGCTGCATGCTCTCACCCTGCGGCCCCTTGGTCTGGTACTTTGAGGAAATCCAGGTTGGTTTGCTGGGGTGCCTGTCTGTTGCCTCTGTCCTTGAGCTGACTGATATTAGTAGGCAAGAAGGGATGGGCCGTGTTTCCAGATATCGGCTTCTGATTGCTGTGATGTTGCGAGTTTCTCTGATTGGCCGCGTGATTTGCATTCTTCAGCCCTCCGTTCTGGTGAGCAATTGCTGAGGAACATACAAGCTTAAGATCTCCTGAACAAATGCATATTGACTGAGATAATGAGAAGATTAGGAAAGTAATGTACCTGGAGGCCCGGGTGCGACTCGTGTTGGGGTGTGGTGGTGTGTCCTGGACATGTTGGGACGGCTTTGAGTGACACCCTGCTTAGTAGGACCTGAATGATTGAATTTGGGTGTATGAGGTCTTGCATGGATGACGAATAGCACTGAATGACACACAACACGAGTGATCACTCACGTGAGTTTTTGGGCAAACCCGGTCCAATGCTGACCTGCAGCATTTTATTTGAGGGTCGCAGCACAGCTACGTCCCCTTGACCTTGGATGAACTGCACCTGTCTGGACCCTCCGGCATTCCAGGGTCCCCATCCTTCTTTCTTCAATTTCATTTCCAGCCTGCAGGTCCAGTCATTCATTAGTGCAGAGTGGCCACAAGAAGTATTTGGACACTTCAGCTATTTAGAAATGCTTGAATGTCATTGCATTAAATAATAAAATATAAATTTTGTTTATTAAAATATTGATAATTGAAAAAATATAATAGTTAAGAAACAACTGAAACAAAACCAAATAATAATTTAGAAATGAAACATTTACACTACCACTCAAAAGTTTGGAGTCAGTAAGGCTGAATTAAATTGATTTAATTGAGTGACAGCAAAGGCATTTATAATGTAACAAAAGATTTCCATAAATGCTGTTCTTTTGAATTTTCCATTCATCAAAGAAATGTGAAAATTCAGCTCTGCCATCACAGGAATAAAAATAGAAAATGGTTCATTTAAATTGTACTATTTTTTCCAAAATATTACTGTTTTGACTGCATTTTTGATCAAATACATACAGCCTCGATAAACAAAAGATACTTTTTTTTTCAAAAACAAAAGGGAATTTAGACACTTTTAGTCCAAATCTACAAAAAAATCTTGTGTTTTAATCTTAATTTTTCATTAAGAATAAAGCCATGGCTTTGCTATAACTGTAGCTACGTTAAATATATTTCAACCTACGTGGTGCTAAATTTGAGAGGTAGTTTTTTCTGTGTTCTCTCTTCGTATCGGCGTGCCAGCAAACTGATGAACTCGGTTTTGAATACACACTCCAGCAGGCTGTCATACTCCTCCTCGTGCAGGATCATGAAGTCATCCTGCATTGTGCTGTATGGGAGACAAATGTCTTTTCAAGATCTGAAATATGCACATTTGTTCAGTCACTCAACATGAGACGGTCTTTTATTACAGGTTACACGTGTTGAGGTGCTTTTGGGGGTTTCCACAGACACAGAGGTTGTCGGGTCACCAAAAAAAAAATAAAAAAAAAATAAAGGCAAATGATACGGTGACTGTTGAAGTTTCCATGTCTGGGACACATGCAGAGATGCCCTGCTTCACCCAATAAACTTAAGTCCTTTCTAATGAGTTTTTTACAAGGTGTACTCTCCCTTCCCAGCAACACCTGGTTCACATTATTGACAACCCCCCACTCCAAAACGAGAATATAATGCAAGGTTGTGGGGGGCTGGTACCTCGTCCTTGGTCCTTACATGTTAGAGCTGTAATCTAGGTTATGTTCCTTTGAGAGAGTTCTGGATGTTTGATCCTTTCCAGCGAACACTAAAAGAACTATAAATGTTTTAAGAGACCGAAGCTTTGTATATCACAGACCTCGATTCAACATGTGTTAATAAGTAACACAGGGCAGATGATGGCTCTAACAACCAGACTGGACCTTTGATGTCTCTACGCCTATAATTCTGCAGATGGTTACGCAAAGCATTTTGGGACTCCATACAGGCTCTGTTTTACATATGGGAGGGAAGTTGCAGCACATTTGGCAGCCTCCTTGTGGCTCAATTTTTACAGTTCCTATTTAAATGATTGAAAATGCGTGCGGTTTCACCTCAAGTGCTAAATGAACTGACTGAGCTTGTGCACTGACGTACCTTAGAGAAACAGCCATTATCTTCTCTACGTCAATTTTGCGCTTTAGGACCTCTTTCACCATCCCTTTCTCTGGCCCCTGCTTCACCTTTTCTCTTCCAATCAGGTAGACAGATTTAGGGGTGAGGATCAGGTCTCTCTTGATGCTCTGAACAGATAAAAACACAGTTTTAGACACTCATACATACCTATAAATGTTGCATGTCATCTAGGCGAAATTTGACCTGCTTGCTAAGAAGTCAAAGACTGAATCTTGGTCACTGAGCCATAGAAGCTGTACTGGGCACAGCTGTGTGCTAATTTTGGTAACCTCACCTTAAACCGCCTGTCGAATTTGTTGACTTTGTCCGCAAAATCGATCTTCTCCCTTTTGCCCACAAATTGCCTGAGCTCGGGCCGATCATCCATACCTATGTAATCGCCCACAAAGTTCCTGTTCAAGCTGTGCCTTCTTCTCTCCTTCCTGTTCAGAAGCAGATCAGAGGCTGGAAGAGGATAAAATCAGTGTTCAGTGCTATTTTCAAAGCTTTAGTTCTTATGCCATGAACAAAAAATGAGACCTCAGAAGAGTATGCCTGAAAATAAATCCATGTGTGAGAAAACAAGAAAAATATAAGTAAATGTCATTTGTAAATCAAATTTTTTGAGCATCCAATTTCCAATCAAGCTGCGATTTTGATACAAGACCTGTGAAAATAATTAATTGTAAATTATATGTTATATAAAATAAAATTAGATGTTATATAAAATATAAAAGCTATAAAATTTGCAGAATAAATCATTTTATTGCAAAATGTAAAAAAAAAAAAATAATTAATTTCTATCAAATTTCCAATCTGAGATGTGGTGGAAATTACATTTGTTACAGGAAAAAAATACGGTTCTGGGAAATAAAAAGACAAGAATTCTGCTTGGTTTCATGTACACTCCAAAAGTTTGGAGTTGGTAAGAATTTTCACATTTTAGAAAAATCACCAATTCACCAAGGCTGCATTTATTTAATCAAAAATACAGTAAAAACAGTAATATTGAGAAATACAACTACAATTTAAAATAAATATTTTCTATTTTAACATATTTTAAAATAAAAAAAATATAATTTTCAGCAGCCATTATTCCAGTCTTCAATGTCACATGATCCATCACAATTTGATGCTCAAGAGACGTATTTATTTATTTATTCATTTATTTATTATTTGTAATAATACTTTTGAATGAAGGTGTACTTAGACTTTTAATAATAATACTTTTGAATGAACCCAAACTTTTAAACAAAGTTTATGTCCACAATTAGGCATTTTTAATAAATAAACAGAAAATTGAAAAAATAAAAAGTGTTTTTTTAAAGTGTTTTTATTCTAAAACTGGGCCAAAAGGGCACATAGCTGAATAAACACCCGAACATGATCAACCAGACAAGGTGGGAGTATTTTTGTCTTTTGTGTGTCTATTATTACTTTTAAATATAATGACAATAATTCCGCTTAAAGCAGCAGTTGAGGTCAGACTCCAAAGACATACGGGGAAAACCACTGAATTCCCCTTTTAACTGCGACACATTCTACCATTTTCTATTTTACCATGTATGTAAAATCTCAACCTCACTCAAACAAATCATCTGAGCGTTGAACTCACCCTCCTCTCTCATTTGAACATATTTCTTGCGTGCACAATATTTCCTCCAGGCCGTCTGAATGGTTCTGGCATAACCGTCGAATTTGCGCTCTCTTGTCTCCTCCAGCAGGAAGAGCTGAGAACAGAATATAATGCAGGTTGTTTAAAAGAATAAAAAAAAGGGCTCACAAATTCATCAGGTATCAGTTTGAATCAGCCAAACTAATTATGTGCTGAATTCAGACTGTTTTTGACTTAACGTCTAATAGTTCACATAACAATAGTGACTAGAGCTGTATAACCATGTCCATTACACTAAAGGTCATTCTTCATCGGAGCTGTATTTACCAGTCCCATTATGACACATAGTGGGTTCGGTCTGTCCTCGTCATACAGCAGTTTCTTCTCTTTTGATTTCAGTTTTCATATTTCTCTTTCTCAGTAAGCAGCTGTTCAAAGTGTCCTGTGGTCATCCTATAATGCTTTGAGCACTGCAGCTCCACTGTATGTCCTCAGAACACACTGTCACAGCTCTGCTGCACTGTAGACTAAACATCAGATCCTATCATTATCACAAAGGCCTGGCACTGACTCTCTCTCTCTCTCTCTCTCTCACACACACACACACACACAAACACACACACACACACACGCACACACAAACACAAACACACACACACACGGCTGGCACAGGATGAGAAATTATGAGCCAAGACAATGAAATCCTTCTTTGTCTCCCACCCCACACACAAACTAACACACATCCACAAACCTCCCATTGATAAACAGTCTAATGTTATGGCAAATAACTGACAAACAACACATTTATACTAATCATACCATTTTGTATGCGATTTGTATGAAAGTAAACACTAAAATAAATAATTTCATATGCCCAAATATACTGTGCATCCCTACTTACAATAATCTGTCCAGCATGTGCATGCCATTCAAAGGTTTGAGGACAGTATATATGCATATTTTGAGAAAATGAAACCCTTTAATACTTATATTTAGTAATAATGCATTAAATTGATCAAAAGTGAATTTTGTACATTTATAGTGTTTACAAAAGATGTCTATTTCAAATAAATGCTTTCAAATAAACTGTTCATCAAAGAATCCTGAAAAAAAGTATCATGGTTTCCAAAAAAAACATTTTGATTGTTAAAAATAAGCTTTGTCATCACAGGAATAAATTATATTTTAAAATATATTCAAATATAAAACAGCTATGTTTAATAGCGACTTAATATAACAATATTTCAAAATATTACAGATTTACTTAAATAAAAATTTTGATCAAATAAAGCCTGGGTGAGGATAAGGTTTTTTTTTTTTTTTCTCAAAAGCATTAAAAAAAATCTTACCGACCCCAAAACCTTTGAAGCAATAATGTATATCAAAATAAGGACCACAATGCAAATAATTTGTTTTTCTCCTTTCTCCTAATTCTGTGCTAAAATCTGGCCAAGACATTTTTTGACAGTGTTGGTGAGATTTATCCTATCAGACCGTTAGGATGTCTCATGCAAACACTGTAAGACTTCATCAGCTCTCAGAAGGATCAAAGAGTTCATTTTGGCAAAGCGACTACTACATGCATGAACTCGCTCTCTCGCTCTCATTCTCACTAAAGAAATTCTTGTAGTCATGAACTAATTACTCTATGTCAGCACCTTATCTCGGAAGGAGTTTTGTTTTGAGAGGCTGGGCAGCTCAAATCTGGGCTCTCCCGTATTTAATATTACACACACACAGAGAAAAGGCCATATTTGAACACCTATATACCAAAGTCACACATCTCTGGATAATCTGCTGCATTCATGCCGAGCCACAGAGCCTTATTCTGTGGGTCTATGTATACGTGTGTACATCTAAATGTCAACAGTGAGATCACAGCACATCCACAAGCAGTGCTTTCATAAGCAATCCAAAAAAAAAAGTGCAGTGGAAAAAGCAAAGCTGTCTTGGACATAACAGAAGCAGCTTTACCACAGCACTGCAGTTGTGTATCAGATCCAGAGTAATGTTGACCTAACAGTGCTGACGTGGGACCAGCCCAGTGTCTCTCCTCCTTTCTTGCTGACTGCCCACTATTCATCACCACTATGAGCTGAGCTGATGTCTGCGAGACAAAGGCTGACTTTTACACTTCACCAATCTCCTGCCATTACAGTACAACGGAAATATTAAATCTAGACCAAAGCAAGAAGCAATGTTCTACATGCTGCAGTTTTTCCCAGCTGTTGCTGGTGTATCTTGTCGTACACCACTCGTTTTAAAAAATATGTTTTTCAAAACGTTTATCTGAGTGAATTTTGTAGAACAGTCTGAAAGTATATGAGCACTGATGCATTTTAAAATGTATCAGCATGACTGTGTTATAACAAAATATTAAAAAAGTGGCATTTACACTACTGTTTGGGGTCAGTAAGACTTGTTAAAAGAGAATACTATTTGTATTCAGCAAGGACAAATTAAATTGATCAAAAGTGACAGTAAAGGCATTGATAATGTAATGTATAATGTAAACTGCATGAAAATAATGAAAGCAAAATACATTTTAAAATATATATTAACTAGAAAACAGTTACTGTTCATTGTAATAATATTTCACAACATGACTGTTTTTTACCGTATTTTTGACCAAATAAATGCAGCTAGGGTGAGCAAATGAGACTTCTTTAAACCCCAACATTTTGAACAGTAGTTTATTTGAAAGAAAAATGGCACAATCACAATTTTCAAGTAAAACTTTAAGAAAAAAAGAGGTTTGGTTTTAAATGATAAAACTTTGGTTCAATAAACTGTTCAATATTGAGACAAAAAGGATGTGGACACTTTCTGATGTCAAACCTAAGGTATGGTCACATTAGACTGTGTTCCATTCACTTTCATTCATATGTATATGTGAATATGGGAGAGCTGGAATGCAAACAAGGTTCACATTCTAACGTTTGGTGAATTCTGTCAAGTGAAGTCTTAAAGTGAAAAGACGTTTGACTAACTGAGGAACAAAATGTGAAATTCTGACTCTTCAAAGTGTAGCAGATGTTTTATGATAACTTTACATTTATTAAAACAGACTTGGGTATCATATTTTGTTGCTGAAAGATTTCAATTGAAGTTGTCCAACCTTGTCAGGTCTTACCGACTCAGGAGCTTTGATGAAGATTTTGGTATGTCCGAGCTGATACTGGTCTTGGTCCATGTTTACGGCGCGCAGGAGATGCAGCACACCCTGCTTCTCATCCCCACGCCACGTCGGCCATGACTCCTTCGTCAAAATGGCATACCTGAGAGAGATCATCATTTGGAAAATGATATCATATATTTGAGTAAAGTATGCATTTTTTATTCATGTAACAGTACAAAGTGCTTAGTTGAAAGTCTTCTGAAGTCGAGTCCTGTGTAAATAAACTATGAAGTGTGTGTGCGCAAGATAAACACTGGCAGGGTGGAGTAAAAAAGTAACTTTAAAACCAATAAGGCATTTAATATTAAAACACCAAAGGATGATTCAGGTTTTATGTAAAAAGTTAATAACCCAATGAAGCATGCAAAATAATTGGTGTCATAATGGAGGAATTACACACTTAAACTAACACAATGACGTTTGATCACCGCACACTGATATGAAGAATGCACAAAGGAAAATGCCCAACAAAAGTTGAACCAAAATTCATCAACATGAAAGTGCCATAACATACACTTGCAACCCTAAGATCTCTCTTCCTTCTCTTTCTGAAGCTCTTTCTTGTGAAAGTGTGGTGTCTTCTCACTGCATGACGAAATTGTAATGCCAGAAGTGACCATATGCTCTCATTCCATGATGTTCTATGAAGAGCTTCCTGTCAGGCTTTGAGGATGAATTTGAAACTGTCTTTACCTGTTCAAAAACTTGCGGAAGATTCTTCTGTAGGCATAGCCGGCACGCCTTACTCTTATATTCTCCTTCAGACCCAGATACTCAACCTGGTGCTTCACTCTAGAGAGAGAGAGAGAGACAGATTGAAAGGAAGCGAGGAAGGAAGGAAGGTTAATATTTACAGCAACAACTCAGAAAGCCCCTTTACAGAAATTCTTCTCAGCCTGTTGCAATTTTATAAACAAATAAGGCATTTCTGGTAGTTTCTCCATCAGTCTTTCCAAAATAAATGACTAAATAAATGCAAATCTTTTGGACACACATCCTGAGAATGAAATTGAGTGCTAATTATACTGCCTAACGTGAACAATGCTCACAAACCCTCATAACAGGAAGACCATTAGAGTCTGAACAATACATGCACCGGATCAGAACATTTCATTCCACCTTTCATTCCAAAAACACTGTGGTAAAAGAGGAAAAAGGCAGGAAAAGTAAGCAAACAAACAAAAAAAAGGTGAAAGAACTGTCGGGACAAAGGACACCCATGCTGAGAAATAAAATTAGAATCCTTTTATTGCTACTTTCCTTTCTAGTTTTCCATTTTGATTTACACTACCCTTCAAAAATTTAGTATTTTAGCATTTTAAAAAAATAAATTAATACTTGAATTCATCAAGGATACATTAAATTGATCAAAAACAGTGAATACATTTACAACGTTGCAAAAGATTTAAATTTTTTCAAATAATTGCTGTTCAAATCAAAGAATTCAGAAAAAAAAAGTTTTTCACAAAAATGTTAAGCAGCAAACTGTTTTAATAACTATAAATGATTCTTGAGCAACACTTCAGCATACTTGAATGATTTTTGAAAGATCATGTGACACTGGAGACTAGAGTAATGCTTAGATTTTTCTGTTAAAATGTTTCTCTGCGATTTTCCCCCGGAAATGTTAAAACTTATGAAAGACAAGCTCAGATGCCGCATTAAAGGCAGAAGCTACTTAGTGAGGATGTTTTGCTCTCAAAGCATTGCTTTTTTTTTGCTTTAACATTAATAATGGCCACTTTCACAAAATGTATTACTTTAATAATAATGCTAATCAATAGTCCCATTAATAATGTTCAGGAAGTAAGAATTCAACTTTGCCATGACCGTGGACTCTCACCTGCTCTCCTCCCAGTCTTTAGGTTTCTTGGTCTCATTGGGTTTGATACAGCGTATGTAGTGAGGTGTACATTTCATCAGGGTGCTCACCAGATCGTTGGCTTGTTTCTGTCATTACAAAGAAAAAGAGGATGTAAAAGAGCTAAAACATCTTACAGAGTTACACACATACAGTCTACATTGATGGCCAGACAACCGGAATATGTGAAAAGTGGTTATCAGTGTAGTATATGAGTAGAAACAGATAGAATCTACAGAGGTTCAGAGACCTGCAAAGAACCTGCAACCTCAACTCACCTTGATTTTACTTCCTGCAGTAGTGGGTCTGCCTTTTTTCTCAGCATTGAGGTTTTCTGGGAACAGGGCACGGATGAAAGGTCTAATAAAAAGAATCAAACCAGAAAGGAATGATTTGGAGTTGGCAGAAAGAGAGAAGAATACTGCAGAAGAAATACAGAGTTTAACAGACAGGAATGTTTTGAATCGTGTCTCTCTGCTGCAGACAGGGTCACTTGAATTCCTCCGAGCCACAGTGCACATTGTTTTGGAGATCATCATCACTGGGACAGTCTGAATACCTGTGGTGTTTTATCTGTGGTGCTCACGATCCATTTGCCTCACTAGATTTTACTAAGATTTAGCATACAGCAGTAAATATATTGCTATTGCTAATATATATTATTGGTTTCCTTGTAGTATCTGTACAGTATTTTAATATTCATAAAATCTCACTGTATGCTCAAGTGTGCTCTTTGAGCAAATTTTGTACCAAATGCCAGTTGGTTATATAACAACAACAAAAACTACTCTTATTAAGGTGTTTGGGACATTAAAAGAATGTTCTTGGCTCAAATAATAAGTTACGTCCTCTCTGCAGTATCTGTAACACATTACAGGTTTAAATGTTAAAAGTTATGTCATCTTAAATAGAAAGCTTTCACATAAGCATGCATTGTTATTAAACCTCTTCATAGGGTTAACTGTCAGGGAGTGGAGATGCAGGGCTACGTCTGTGCAGATAGACAAGAAGCCCTGCTTCGTCACTGAATTCAAGATTTCTCTTTCTTCTGTTCTGTGTATAGGACCTGCTGGCTGGTGCAAAGGAAGTTCCCCTGCAAACTCTGTATGTGTGTGTGTGTGTGTGTGTGCGGTGCAGATATATATGCATGACACCACGTGTCTGAATGCAGTCTGAAAGCGGACCCCCAGAAGGCTTCACAAAGGGCTGCGGGAGGACACGGCTTGCACAGATGGCTATTGGGGCCCAAAAGAGGCCCAGGAGCACATAAGGCACGCTCTACAAGTCCTACTCCCTTGAGAGACAGAGGGGCTTTTTGGACTCAGAAACAATGATAATCTCCTGCACACTTGTATTGTGGGCCCTTCAGCTGGCCTGATTATATCCATGATTTACATATATTAAGGCAGAAGGCTTCACAAAGGGCTGCGGGAGGACACGGCTTGCACAGATGGCTATTGGGGCCCAAAAGAGGCCCAGGAGCACATAAGAGCGACAGGCACGCTCTACAAGTCCTACTCCCTTGAGAGACAGAGGGGCTTTTTGGACTCAGAAACAATGATAATCTCCTGCACACTTGTATTGTGGGCCCTTCAGCTGGCCTGATTATATCCATGATTTACATATATTAAGATCTTCAAGCGCTCTGAGAGTCTGTTGGATGAGATCACAGACTGGCTGTTTTTTTAGGATGGAGGAGTGACACTTACATTTCACTGCTCTGCATTAGCTCGATCAGGTCAGTGAACAGCACATCCCTGTTCCTCTCACAGAAACCCTCTGCATCATAAGACACCTGGAGAGACAAGTAACAGCTCAGTTAAACAGTAGTGTGTTCTGGACAGGGTTAGAAACACAAGTCATTCTTTGAGCCACAGTTGAGCCAATAGATGCTCAGATCAATGTCAGCTCAACCAACCAACTACTTACATTTACGTACTTACAGTCTTTGTATATACAAGTGGGAAAGTAGAGAGTTTTTAAACCTCATAAATGACTGACTAAATGAATAAATAAATATTCTAGGACTGATATTTCATTTTGATCTGGACCTTGCTTTTATATTTATTATAATTATTTACACTTTACAGTTGTATAATTTCAAAATATGCATCCCACAAATGCATTCATATTTTTTACAAATCATTTGGAGACAAAATCTTCGCCATTGTAATTTTATTGATTATTCTTATTATTTCCTTTTAATTTTCTCTTCCATTTTGTATAATTTTTTGGTTAGGGTATTATTTGGGCTCTTTTGGCTTTTTATTGTTTTTACCCATTTTTAAATTGTATTTATTTATTTACTTATGTATTTGCAGTAAATGCTAGAAGACACATATGTTTTTTTTAAATCATGGGTTTTCCTTTGTCAGTAGAACATGCTTATTTTAAATCTAATGTTGCAGGATGTGGAGGGCTCCCCCTGCCTCCCCTCAGAGCACGCCTCATTGAACACAGGGTATGTGGATGGTGCCACACATACTGAACTACCTCAAGGCAACAAAGTGTAAACGAGAGACTGAGAGGGAGGTGGAAAGAAAGACACAAAGTGCTAAAAAAAAAAAGTAGAAGAAAATTCGGTGAGAAAAAAGGTAAAGAAAATGATTTAACAACACTGCAGAGGAGTGCGGGGAGGTGGGTAAATACCTTGCCAGCGTAATGGTGAATGATGAAGCCCTGGTTCCAGCTGTTAAAGTGCTCGTGATTGTTGATCTGCATTCGGAGCTTCTGCAGCATCGTTTGATCTGCACCCTCACCCTTCGCATGCATAGTAGCACACACATCGTCCAGTATACTCATGATGCCTGGAGGATTCTGGGAAAGGACACAAAATGAAAGTGAGATTCATTCATATTGTAAAATGCATTCCTATTTTTCAAATTCATTTGGACGCATCCTATTAGCCTCCTTAATAATTGTATTGAATTATTATTATTTTATTTTTCTATTTATTTTGGTAAGTGTTTTATTTTGTCTCTTGTTGATTGTTACTGTTTGTACCCGTCTTATTCATTTATTTATTCACTTTATTCATTTATTTATTTATTCTTTCATTCTTTTTTTTTAAATGTTTCATATTCTGACCTGTGAAGCATTTTGATCTGTATTTTAAGTATGAAACTTGACATAAAAAAAAATCTTTACTAGTCGTAGTAATAAAAGTAGTACACACTTACGTAGTATAGTTTATTTTTAAATAAGGTATAGCATGTTGCATTGCAGGACATCTACTTTTAAGTATTTAATTAGCCTCCTTAATAATTGTATTGAATTATTATTATTTTATTTTTCTATTTATTTTGGTAAGTGTTTTATTTTGGCTCTTGTTGATTGTTACTGTTTGTACCCGTCTTATTCATTTATTTATTCACTTTATTCATTTATTCTTTCATTCTTTTTTTTAAATGTTTCATATTCTGACCTGTGAAGCATTTTGATCTGTATTTTAAGTATGAAACTTGACATAAAAAAAAATCTTTACTAGTCGTAGTAATAAAAGTAGTACACACTTACGTAGTATAGTTTATTTTTAAATAAGGTATAGCATGTTGCATTGCAGGACATCTACTTTTAAGTATTTTACCCACATATTATAGTATATAAAACAAAGCGTCTGAAACCGTTTTAGCCCACATTCACAGCCTTTCAAGCTTTCAAGCTTAATCCAAAACTCAGGAAATGAATCATCATACATTAATCTGAATGAAAACACACTGTCAGACATCTCTCTTTATTCACAGAGTCCAACGAAAGGAAAACAGCTTGTAAATTTATCACAGACAACCATTAACTTTTAGCAGTGACACAAAGAAGCACTTTCTCACACGCTGTCACACCAACATGGATGGTTAAGGTTCTCCCTTGTTGTGAATTTCATGGCTCTGTGTGATAGTTTATTTTTAAATAAGGTATAGCATGTTGCATTGCAGGACATCTACTTTTAAGTATTTTACCCACATATTATAGTATATAAAACAAAGCGTCTGAAACCGTTTTAGCCCACATTCACAGCCTTTCAAGCTTAATCCAAAACTCAGGAAATGAATCATCATACATTAATCTGAATGAAAACACACTGTCAGACATCTCTCTTTATTCACAGAGTCCAACGAAAGGAAAACAGCTTGTAAATTTATCACAGACAACCATTAACTTTTAGCAGTGACACAAAGAAGCACTTTCTCACACGCTGTCACACAATCCAAAACTCAGGAAATGAATCATCATACATTAATCTGAATGAAAACACACTGTCTGATAACACACAGCTGTCTGTATTGTCCGAAAATTCAGACATCTCTCTTTATTCACAGAGTCCAACGAAAGGAAAACAGCTTGTAAATTTATCACAGACAACCATTAGCTTTTAGCAGTGACACAAAGAAGCACTTTCTCACACGCTGTCACACCAACATGGATGGTTAAGGTTCTCCCTTGTTGTGAATTTCATGGCTCTGTGTGTCTAGTCCCTCTGTGAGTGAAGCAAATTGAATTTGGAGGCATATCAAGCATTTTGAGGCCATTAGACAAACAGTCATGGGAAGAGAAAGAAGGCTTTTGTGGATATGGATCTGAACTTCTTAGTTCGCTAATGTTAGTTTTATTGATTTACCGCACTAGGCAATGACAGATCATATCCAACTTTTTAAACAGATGGATGTTTGATTTGCACAGTTAGTGAAACTTACCAGTTTACTCTCAATGAGGTCACAGACGATCTTATTGTTGAAGTACTCTATGGGAGTCCATCGGATTCCTTCCTGTACATACTCCTCCTGAAGAGAGGAAAAGAACAAATTATGAAAATGATCCTGTACTAGGGTGGAGCAGAAGTATATAGTACTTCCTGTACTGCTAGAACTAGGTTAACTGATTGAAGGCACAAATCACAGCAAAAACGAAAAGCACAGGGGTGAAATGGAAGTGTTACCTGCTCAGCTTTCAGAGTCAGCTCAATGAAAATCTGCTGCAGTTTTTCATTCACAAAGTTGATACAGAACTGTTCAAATCCATTTTTCTAAAAGGCAAGTGAAAACAGAAAATGGATACTGTCACTATGAACCAAAAATAACACCAGTAGTGGTGACAAAGGAAACAAATAAGTTGCAAATCAGCTTCGGTGATAATGTGAACATGGCAAACAATGATTCAATTGTTATTATTATCAATAGCATAATAAAATACACAGTTGTTGCTCAAGAATTCAGCATCTTAGTGGTAGTAACAACAAATTAAAAGGGCTGAAAGCTGTTTTCAGAGCTTTATCCAGCTTTATCCTTCTTAGGAAGACAACACAGGCAGTTATCTTAAAAGTCTCAATACCAGATGCTAAACCAAGAGATTATCAGATTAGTCAAGCTCATTAATATGTTATCCGTTTACAAAAGCAGAGGAGAATCAATCCAGGCAATTAAAAATCAATCATCTTATCTCATTAGGTAGACTGGAAGCTATACATCCTGTTAACTGCTGTGAAAACAATAATTCCATTAGTGACGAGTACATTAAATACTCACCTGAAAAATCTCAAAGCCATAAATATCCAATACTCCAATGTTCAGCTCCTGATGGTCCTTAACCATGGCTTTATTGATTGACTAAAAGAAAATAGGAACCCATTTAGTGCTCATTTCTTCTGTAACATCTGTTTTTATGAGGGATATATGGCTTGTACCTCCACCAGGTAGTCAAAAACACGAGAGTGCAAGGCTTTGGAGAGGGCGTCACGAGTGAAACACGCCTGTTCCACATTCAGTGTTACGTCTATGGACTCTGACTTGCCACCCCATTTGTTAGAGAATAGTGAAAACATGTATGATGATTTCTACAAAGATATTAAGCAGCACAATTGTCTTCAACATTGCTAAAAATAAGAGATGTTACTTGAGCACCAAATCAGCATATTCAAATGATTTCTGATTACATATTTTATAAAATAAATGCATCCTTATTGAGCAAGAGACAACTTTTAAAAATGTTTTAAAAAATCTTACCAACCCCAAACTTCTGAATGTTAGTGTAGAAAGTCTGAAAATAATCTTCAATGTTTATCTCTATTTAGAATATATGAAATGCTAGTTCTGAAATAAGTCTTGGCAAGCCAAAAGAGTCCAAAAATGTTCCAAAAAGTTTTCAAATGTCATTTCCACCACTGTCAGTTTCACTACAAAACACCATTAAATAATACAAAATTTAAGATATGGAGGAAATGACACTGCGGTGAGAATTTATGACTTTCTGGAACAAAAAAAAGTTAGCATTCTCCTGGACAATGTTAGCAGACAAATGAAACAAACTAGTGAGAGTGTGAAAAGTGTTTTAGGAGTGTTTATTTTCTGGTCTGCAGGGCCAAAAGTGTCCACAGTTGAAGAAACACCAAAAAACAAAAAGTCCTAAATAAACGTAACCATAGGAAAACTCTCAAACTCGTGAAGGAGAAACAGTGGTGAGAAGGCCTCGTTAAGAAGAAGGTCAGACAGACTCCCTCTTCCAAAAAACTCAAGTGGTAAACTCAGAACAACGTGACCTGCTTTTCAGAGCCAAATGGCTCCATCTTCCCTTTCCTGAATTTTACTGCGGTTATTCATTCAATTTTTCCTCATAACGTGCTGCACTTATGCTACTGACGGTAACAGTGACATCTTCTGAGAGAAGAAGCCAACCTCGTGTCCTCATTCTCACCTGGTAGAAGATGTGGAAGCTCCTCTCTCCAGGATTCCGCATCACCACACGTGATTTTTCCAAAAGGAAGTTGGAGATCTTCCCACCATCTGGCTCACCGCCGGAACTGAACTGAATCTCAAAGTATTTCCCCTGTCAGGGAATATGAATGTTAAAAAGGCACAGACTTGATGTACTGCAGGTGGATGTGTATGCCCAGAACTGAAAATAAGAGGAAATAGGTGCTTTGACACACACACAAACACTCTCCACTATCATTTATGTGTCTCTCTCTGTTCGTTTATGTGTGCTGCAGCTGTCTGCAGTTACCAGACATGTCAAAAACCTGTAACGACATTACCAGCCCCTGTAGGACCCCTGAATTAATCTAAATGCTTTTTCATCCACGAAACTCTCCTATCCACTACACAATCCATTTATATCACAGCTAAGCCATTCTTCTTACAATAAAATTACACCAATCCCAAGAAAACAAAAACAAGACTGACATATCTGGGCATAATGAAGCAGAACTGCAAGTAAATGTGGCGTACAACATATTTTGTAACGGCTGCTTTAAATTGACCTGTGAGTATTTTTAAGGGCAGTACTTGCCACGTTTAGGCCAAAGCCTTACGTTAACATCATATTTATCAAATGTTCTTATTGCAGTGGCAAAACATTGCTTTTTCTTACTTTTTGTATTTGAACTGGATGCTCACCCTGTTTTTGTTGGTTCTAGTGCAACTGTGTACCTCTTAAATTCATCCTGAGGACAAGATGCAGCCCAACACAAGACATATGCTTTCTGTTTTCTTCAATAAAATGAGTATATGGGAGGATGATCGAAGCTTACAAATCGACTGGAGTTGTTGTTCCTCACTGTCTTAGCATTCCCGAAGGCCTCCAGAAGAGGGTTGGACTGCAGAATGATGTCTTTGACATGCTGTGTGGACATAAACAGGAAAAAGAGAGAGATTGAGAGTTAAGTTGACATTTTTCATACTGTGGAGGATTATAAGTACAGAACTTATGCTGATCTGGAACTGATGAAATGAGATCAGTGGGTAACGCCCATCTTGTAGAGTGAATTCAGGTCAAATTGGTCATCCCAGTGTCTAAAAGTGGTCTAATTGACCTAAACTCATCCCCCACCCCCACCCCCACATATATCAGTATGCGTGCACATTCCAGACAGAATTTAGAGACGCAGAAGTTCTGGGATCGCCAATACCATCACTGTTTATGACATTAGACATCTTCAAGTTCTTATCAAACATATAAAGTGTACAAATTGCATAAAGACATTTTTAAGAAATCTGAAATTAAAAGTCACACTGCTGATGTAAACAAATTAGAGCCGAGGGCTAGTTTGCATTTGCAACACCAGGGGAAAAAAAGGAAAAATTGATAATTTGCATATAGACAGAGAAAGGGTATCAACTCCTGTGTGGACCACACAAGTAAAACAAAAAGATACACAGAGAGATAAAAAGAAAATAAAAGAGGCAGATGAGCAAGACACAAAAGATATCAAGATGAACCATTCAGCAGTGATGGTCATATGATCATGAGGCACTGTGACATTCAGGAGATCAGACAAAGCATAGACACAGCAGAGCAGCCCGAGCAGACAGACTTTCTGTTGTACCACCACAATACGCTACTTTGTTCAAGACGCCATCAAACATACTCGTCAAAACACTAGTAACAGCCTGTACACTATCAAATCATTAGATAGAGCACAGAGGGAATCATTTCAACATGGATTTTTTGTTGTTGTCCCAAATAAGCACAGTGGGACTAAAATGTCCACACTGAATTTCTGTGATTCAAAATTTAATTGAATTCAGTGCAGTAATTCAGTGTGATTAATTATGAACAAAAATAAGGCTTTAAAACATTCATGAAATTAAGTAATTAGCCATTGATTGTGGATCATGTTTAGATATTTTACCTGGTAGATTAGACAATAACAACTGATATTGTCATTAAAGCAAAAGGAGGAAAAAACTAAATCATTTCTCAAATTCATATTCATTTTCACTTAAAATTTTATGCAAAATAGAGGTGCATCTCAATAAATTAGAATGTCATGGAAAAGTGCATTTATTTCAGTAATTCAACTCAATACCAGAATGATAGAATTGGTTTATATATGCATTAACAAACGGTTAATTCAATCAGATTAATACAAGCAACAAGTGTCAGTCCTCTGACTCTGAGCTCACTCATATGGCTCCTGAAGGGGCTGAGAGGGGGACACAGGACAGATCAGAAGGGGATTGTGGGGGACAGATGGCTGCTGGTGGGGTTTAGGGGATGAGAGAAAGATTGTAAGAGATGGGGGAAGAGGAATAATGTCAGATGAAGCAAACATCAACATGGATCAGGATTCTGTTTAACACTAACTGTCAGAAACAATCTCGGTAAAGTTATCAGGAACAGGAAGCCACTGTTTTTCTATTCAACCGCACCTTAACTATTCCTGAAAGTTACAAGAGTTTTCATTTTTTCTTTGTTCTGTGCAACCCACCTGAACTCTGGGACCTCCACCTGAAACTTTGGAGATGTAGCCCATGATGTACTTTGCTGCTACCGTCTTCCCTGCTCCGCTCTCACCGCTGGGAAGAACATAAAAAGATGACAAATGTTAAGCTCATTCCTATATAAATAAATAAATACACAGATACTTTAAACAAAAATTCGTTGTCACTTTAGTTTGAGGACAAATTCTCGCTATTAATTAACTACAGTGGTGTGAAAAAGTGTTGGCCCCCTTCCTGTTTTAAATTTTTTTTGCATATTTGTCACACTTAAAAGATTCAGATCATCAAACAAATTTTAATATTACACAAAGATAATGCAAGTAAATACAAAATGCAGTTTTTAAATGATTATTTATTTTAAGGGAAAAAAGCTGTCCAAACCTGCCTGGCCCTACGTGAAAATGTAATTGCCCCCTAAATCTAATAACTGTTTGTGCCACGCAACACTTTTTCACACCACTGTATTAACTATGACTTTTGCCTCAATAAACTCCTACTTTGCTACTTATTATTATTATTATTAAGTAAGCTAGGTTTAGGGATGTGGCAGGATTAAGGGATCTAAAATGTGGTGCAGAATAAGGCATTAATATGTGTTTTATTTGTGCCGATAAACAGCCAACATACTAGTAATATGCATGTTAATAAGCAACTAGTTAAAAGTGAGAATTGGTCCCTAAACTAAAGTGTTACCAAATATTTAAATTAAAATATTTCACAATATTACTGTTGAACGGTAATGCATATGTGTATATCCAAAAATAAGCATAATATAATGCTATTATACATATGTTAGGCTTTTAGGGTGTACTAGTGACAACAATGATTGTTACAAAATAATACCAACAGAATTTAATGTTTTACCAGTCAATATTTATGGAATCCAATACTTTTCTAGTGAGCCACAGGAAAACATCCATCTACAAAAACTCAGAGAGAAGACATCCTTATTTAGGGCCAGATTTATAACAGATTGAGATATTAGCACAGTTAGACTAAGGATTTATTATGTATTTTCAGCTGGACAAGGATACAAAAATAAAGTCATCCATGTATCTCTTCTTGAGGTTTTCCACAATGGCATCCTCATTGATCTTGGAGAGAAGCACCATATCATCCACACCACTCTGCTTGACATTGTGGCTTTGCCAGTGGTACCGGTAGTGTCCCCGGCTCCCCTGTGAAAGCAAACACAAACAAGAAACTCTTGTTAGACTGTATACACACCCAGCTTTTGTGTAGCAGGCTACCTGACAGAAACTAGATTAGCATATCCAAAGACAGTACAAGACACTCCATAACTAGATAGCATCATATTTTTAATGCTGAAATACTTTCTCTCAAATGTGATGTACAGAGACAACTGTAAGTAAGCCATTCATAGTTTGGCTTCCCAGAAGAGTGTTAACATCGCAGCTCTGTTTACCTTTCGAAACATTGCTCTGTTTGTATGAGCAGTTTTTTTTCTTCTCAATGAATGGTATGAGTTTAGGGTGGTAGGGTAGCATGGTATACTAGTGGTAGGAAGCAACATGATACCTAGACAAGAGCAATTACACTGGAAATGCTTCTATGATCATTTAAACCACTTATAAATCACAAAAAAATCACTTAAACCAGTTTGTTAGTCTTAGCTGGTTTAAGATTGTCTCTAAACCTGGCTAAGCTGGTGTTTTTCTGGGCATCGACTTAAAAATTGCTCAAAACTACCCTAAAATCAGCCACTCTGATCAGAACAAGATACTAGCTAAACAGCATTGTCATTGTTAACCAAGACTAAAATTTTATTTCAATGATGTTTTCAGTAATTAGAATAAAGCTAAAATAAAATATTAGATGAAAAACTTAAATTAGAAATAATGTAACTTATTCAACTTCTTTAAATAAGAAGATTAAGAACTAAAACTGAAAATTAAAAATTAAAGCTATATAAATATATTATTAAAACAATAAAAAAAAAACATAAAAGCAAAAAAAGTTACTAAAATGAAAACAGAAAATCTAAAAATAAAATTAGTTCACAAAAAAATCACTTAAACCAGTTTGTTAGTCTTAGCTGGTTTAAGATTGTCTCTAAGCCTGGCTAAGCTGGTGTTTTTCTGGGCATCGACTTAAAAATTGCTCAAAACTACCCTAAAATCAGCCACTCTGATCAGAACAAGATACTAGCTAAACAGCATTGTCATTGTTAACCAAGACTAAAATTTTATTTCAATGATGTTTTCAGTAATTAGAATAAAGCTAAAATAAAATATTAGATGAAAAACTTAAATTAGAAATAATGTAACTTATTCAACTTCTTTAAATAAGAAGATTAAGAACTAAAACTGAAAATTAAAAATTAAAGCTATATAAATATATTATTAAAACAATAAAAAAAAAACATAAAAGCAAAAAAAGTTACTAAAATGAAAACAGAAAATCTAAAAATAAAATTAGTTCAAAATGTTAATAAATACCACAGTAGTATGTAAATAATACTAAAATAACACTGCATCTAAGACCAGTGAACCAGCTTTGGCTAATTTAAAGTGTTGTTAATCAGCAGGAATGATTTTCCCCTTGATATTGGAACACTTAAAATATCATACTATTATATTAAGCCATATTTAAGGTATTGTGATAGAAACTACAGTGGCAGATGGGGGGGTTAGGAAGACATTGAGAAACCTGTTCAGAAATAATCATTTGCAATCACTTTTAATGCCACCAGTGACACAGGCATTACACCTTCATTCTGAATTGCATTCGGTCATGAACGCTGATAAACACATTACATTGCTGACAACAGTTAATGTGAGCAAACAGTCCAGTCAGCAAAATGACCACGTCCAATTCACCGCCTGCGGCACATTTAACACAGCTCGTTCTTTTTCACCGCAGCAGATGTTGATTTTGTTTTTCTAAACCGATGAAAAGTGCACGGTCAGGAGTCTCCCTAAAGCTCCCTGAGCACTACAAACACTTCTTTTGATCTTCGCCTGATGTTCTCACCATTCCTCCTCTTCTCCCTCGTCCCCCTCTTTTACCTCCCTTCCCATTGTACTTCCGCTCTGGTGATGTTTTTGCAGAGGGTGTGTCTCCGGAGAGCTTGGGTCATTCATCATGGGACGTGAGTCAATGGCTTCTGGCTACCGTTCTGAGGTCACAATGACCCATGAGGACCCAGACCCTTACTCAGAACGACACAAAGCCTCAAGTGCATTTGACAGGATAATCAAAAGAGAAGGATACAAAGAGTGTGACTCAAGAAATACAGAAAGAGAGCCAGACAGACATAGACAGTGAGTGTACCACTTGGAGAGCACATGATCCAAACGCACTGCTGTTTTAAACATTTTCCTCTGTAATGTTCAATCATTACTAGTGCATTAGTCTGATTTGAAGGCCACATTTGTCTATTCTTTCCTTACAGCAATTTTCCCAAGCCTAAGGAATGCCGTGACAATGAAATGAGGTAAACTGGAAAGACATTTAACATTCTCAAAATTGTACATTCCACAGTCTGAAAAATCTAGGGGCGCAAGAAAGCAGAAGCAGACCAAGTACGGAAGATTTTTTTCCCTCCCTTGAAGGACTAATTAACTTGCCATCGTAAACGAGCACAGTTCAAGTCCGAGGTAAATTACAGGAAAATAAAGAAACACAATAAACGCTCAACACCATGACAACAATAAGGAACCTCACCTGAACATGATTAGAAGTGGAGCTAACTCAAAAACAATTAAAGGAGGAAGGCAGCGTTTTAAACAAAACAGTAAACACTTCTTTCAGACCTTTACAGACTGTTTTGTTTAGTTTATTTTTTGCATGTATTACAGAGAGAGTTCGTTGTCTTTCGACAGTTTTTCTAATTCTATTGAACCGTTTCTTTCACAGTGTTTGAGTCCACATCACTATCACTCCATGGGACACATAAACACCTGGAAAGAAGATGAATGTCTTCATTCCCAGCACATGTTCCCCATAAACTGCGAGCCAAAGCAGAGCTTCATAAAGAACTGTGAAAACAGGATCCTATTTGAACACACAATGACTTAAATGAGACGACGATGAAGTAGTAGTAAAACAAAAATGATCATGAAAGTTACTCAAAAACACAACGGGCCAGACAGAGCACTACACCCGTAATTTTATTCTTTTCTTTCTGAAGAAGTCTTTGCAAAAAGCGCAAGGACCACACCTACTGTCCAAGATTTAAAGTCATAGACCACACAAAGTCAAGCAAGGGAGAAAACAGCATCTCTGCTTTTACGAGCTATAGTTAGTCCCACTAGGCTTATTTAGGGATGAAAATGTTCCGTTTCGTAAAGGAACACCGGAAACAAGGAAAGCTAAAGTTCACTACGCTTGTGCTGTGGTTTACTCCGGAACAGCAGGCATTATTTACACCATGACAAAAATGATACCCATCTGCACCATGCACGCAAGGTCAAACTCCCAAACTCCCTGGGAAGACATCAATCAGGATTTAAAATAACCAGGCAATAAAATATCTCAACCCCAACAACTTTTTCATTAACGCTTACTATTAGAAACAGCAGGAAGAAGACAGCCTTAGAAAGGCATGAAACGCCCATATCTGTGTTAAGGGGTTTATTTTGCAGTAACCATCTGACTGACCGATTATACAACTTAGTGCACAACTACTGACAAAAAACAACAACATTACAGTAATATTCAAACCAATGTTTTCTGATGTAACAAATGATAACTGCGATGCGAGATGGTACTAATCGGGTTTGTATGAAACAAGAAGGCATAAAAATAGTGCACAAGGTGCACCTGGGAAGTTTGCATTTACCATTTTGTACAAATTGGTATAAATTACGACGATGCCAGGTCCATTCAGATAATTTTGTATGTAGCAAGTCGGCAAAGTCCCTTTACTACAAAAATACAACCTCTACACAAAGGTAGAAGTTGTATTTTTGCATCAGGTGTGTGTTTTCTGCTTCACATTTTTATTTAATATGTGAGGGTGCTGTAAAATAAATCATTATACATTCTATTGTAATTGTACAATACAATCAAATTTAGTACATGCAAGTTAGCAACAAATAAGAAAAAATCATACATTTTAACAACTCCTGAATACGAACTTACTGTCATGAGAATGCACCATGACATGCTGCTTTGCTATGGACGACAGGGAAGCATCTGATGCTGGATGGCGCAACTCATCAAGCATAATTGTGTAATCCAAATGACTGCATGACAAATTAGGACATTCATTGTATTAATTGACTAAGGAGCAGCTGTGAGGTCAGTGTAATGTGATTCTCCAGACTGGTGAATGGCACATCTGGAGAGTATACTAGTATGAGAGAGGCTATAATAACACCATCTATCTCATTGAGTCTGGCTGGCATCACATATGAACACAGATGAAGATCTGCTCTCTAGTTTACCCACTTATTACATGTGTGGCACTTTTAGAAAACGTACAACTTCACAAAAACAAACACTACAGAAAGAAGAAATGCTTCATTCACAAAAAGGAGGAGAGAAAAATTTCATTGTTCTCCTTGTAAAATCCTCGCCAGAAAATACTGTAACCGATAATTTCCCCACTGTAATCCTACAGCAGTTGAAAAATGTCAGCAGCACCAGTCTTAGATCCATACTGACATGGCAGGCCGTTCCCTCATGCAAATACCATTGCCTTATATGGAGAGTGTGGAGTGGAGCGCAGACTCAGGCACAGGAAATGGCTGGGTTTGATTCAATAAGGCGGCAATTTTTTACCTCCTCAAACTATCCTTTCCTTACAACCATCTGGAATTCACACAGAGGACCTGCATTCACATATGGCAGAGCTGAAGTGGGATCAAGTTAGCCCTAGCCCTGAAGTGAAAGTGCAAGCCAAAATTGCCCCGAATCATTCGGTATGCATCTCCACTTAAAATATAATCAATGAATGAATACAATCAGAGGGCAGTTAAAGCTACAAGACACAGTCTGGTTCTCAGTTTAATGCATTTAGCATATGGCTCAGAGTACTGCGGTTTGGCTGAGAATTCAGCTCGGCGGACCTGGCAGTGCTAATAGCAGATTAAGGCAGGAATGCGTAATGAAGTTCATAGCTATTTCAGGAATCCTTTTCAACATATTACAGATCCACAGTTCTGATTAAGTCACTTTGGCTTAGATAAATAAAGAACATTCTTGTGCACTTAAAAGTTGTAGCTAAAATCCCGGTAAAGAACGGTGTACAAAGAAAATATATATCAAATAATGAGGTGGTAAATCATGACTTCTGCTGCCAATTATTATCTTTATGAGATTACTTATAAACTCCCTATGTGAAGCACGACGAATGAAGTATTCTGCAGGCCAGTGGACAGTGTGGCTCAATAAATTAAGCACTGGTCTCAGCCACACAATGAATACTAATTTGAGAAGCAGTGCCAGTGTGTGAACCTATTTGGATTCACCTTAGAATCCTCCATTATAAACCCCTATGCAAAGTCAGACAAAAGAAAGAGCATTCAGAAACACCAATTTAAGTCTCCTTAGTTATAATGGTTGCTAAGTACTCTTCATCAGTATTCTGCATGTTAACATACAGTAGCCTATGTCGTTTACAACCCCTGTGTCATTACAAGGTCAGTATATCCCTTCCGATCACATCTTCAGAACATAAACCTTGGCACTCATAAAGCTGGCATATTAATAAAAGGAAGAAAAAAAACAGAATTTAAAGTATAACGTACAAGTGCAAGTACAAGCCCACTGAATGTGACTCTAATGGTGATTTTCACCATTGTCAGAAGGGAATCAGTACTGATGAGTATTCCAGGCCAAAATGTAAAAGCATATAAAGATATTTTCACAGCAGGCAGATGTGAAGCCCTTACAATCCTAAATGGTCCTGGAAAATGCCTGACAGAAATAATCCCAGTCTGGACAATGTACACGGTGGTAGCCCTTTATTCTGAATGCTAGTAAACCCTGGACACAGACACAACAGGCTTGTAAATTCACCACTGTAATGTGCTGAAGAAAAACAGGCCCATCCACAGCCAGACTGAAAACAATCAGAACACAAATAGCTGAAAAAGCTCAATGCTGTAACAAACTAAGTACAAACCCAGAGATTAGATTAATCATAGGTGTGCAATAAATTTAAACGAGTTTAAACAAGTTAAAAATAAATAAGTCATCATACCCTCATCATACTTGTAAACATAAGTAATGTTTGTTGATTTGGGAAAAGGATTTTCTAGCATTACACAATCGAGCTGTAATTAATCCCAGTGTTTACGTATGGAGTAAAACACCTCCAGGGGTGTTGGTCAGGTTACGAAGATTGGGCGAGAACAGCCAGAGGAGCAGAGAGGGGTTTCTGGGTAAGAAATGGCAGTGGAGGCAGGGCTGACTATAGAGTCCCTCCAGAGGCAGCAAACACAGAGGGTTTGTGTAACTGAGATAGGAGTGGCTCTCAAACGTCTGGCTACTGCAGAGAAACTGTACCAAAGTTTCCAAGTTCAGCCAAGCCATATTATTTCTGTTCGCTTTTGAAGGCAGGGGAAAAGAATGTAGCACATTCTGTCTGATGGGGAAGTCTGGAACGCCATCATTTTCCCTGAAGTACACATAGAGATAGATTATGTTTAGACTAGGATTCTAAAAATGGTGCTAAAATTCTAATAGGGCAGCTGATGAGACAAGGTGACAGTGCATCACCATATAGATGGCAGTTTTTAAACTCAGGATCAAGGGAGTCATCTCATCTCCTGACAGTTCAATATACACAGATCATTTCATCCATATAGTAACACTATCTTGTCGTAGGTTTGTTGGTCATGGTCACATATTTGCCAGGAAATTCTTAAAAACAGGTGGACAATAATTATTCCCTATAGAATAAATATTTTTAAAATAGAGTTAATTCTGGAGTATTTGCCAGTTCATGTTCAATTTAACGCAATTCAATAAAATAAAGTAATACAAAGCTTGACAAGTTTTCATCAGCATGTAATTTGTTTGAATTTCTGAAAATGCTGCACAATGAAAGACAAATTGCAGACGATCAGATGATTCGATTTATAAATATTTATTTATAATTATCATCAAGAGGGAATTTTCTCCTTTGAATGTGAGAGTACATCTGGGTGGTCTTGGATTGCAAATTGCAGCTAGACAAAATATGCTTTTTTAATAAGGTTTGTTTTTCCAGAATAAATTATATATATATATATATATATATATATATATATATATATAGTTTGTTTTCATGCTGGCCAAAAAAAAGTATTTCTCAAAGTAAACAGGATTATACGTCATCTGATCCCGTTTACTTTGAGCAAATTCAAGCTAACATTTCCAAACTGGCCACCTGTCCTGCCACAACCAACTACACAACAAATCCACAACACCTCAGAGAAATGCATATGTACTTTTGTATTTCTCAACATTTCTTGTTATGAGACAATCAACTAATTGATTAGTTAATTACAAAGTAAATAAACCACACTCAAATATTTCAATTGACTATTAAAACTGGTAATATATCCCCATCCAAACTTTATATTCTACTTAGAAGCAGTCATAGCTTATGGCTTCACTAATGGTCTGCTTTTAAATGATACATGAAACAAGGTCTTCCCAGAACACACAGATGCACACCAATGAATAAATAAAAAGCCTAACGCTATGTTTATGGAGCAGATTTATGGTTATATGGTGTGCTTTATTCCTTTTAGAGAGGCACAGTTTCTCCAAACATGAACACACACACACATGTCTGGTTCACTATCCTTGTTGGGACTCTCCATAGGCGTAATGGTTTTTATACTGTACAAACTGTATTTTCTATTACCCTACACCAACCCTACACCTGACCGTACCCCTTACAGAAAACTTTCTGCATTTTTCATTCAATCTCAAAAAAACGAATTCTGTATGATTTATAAACTTCTGTACCCATGGGGACCTCAATTTAGGACCCCACGGTGACACAAGTCCCCATGAGTTGGTGTGTATTCAGGTTTAAGTCCCCATCAGTGTTGAAAAACCTGTACACACACACACACACACACACACATACACAGAGCCTTCATCACTAAGGCTTTTACAGTGTTTGATAATCCACACAAAGGTAAGCAGATAATAGCCATTTCATGAAGCTTTTTGTGTACACAAACAAATGCCACCTCATAATTTGGTTCAAAATAAAGGAGTGTCTCCGAGAGGCGGTTGGCTGGCTTTTTTTATTAAAGTAATAAAAAAATAAAATAAAAAAAAAGTAATTTCCACACCTGTTTTGTCTCTCTACAAAGCACCTTGCAACAAGATTCAATATTTGCTTTAAGAGCCAAACTCTTAAAGGGACAAATCACCTAAAAATGAAAATTCAGTTCTCACTTACTCACCCCCATGTTGTTCCGAACATGTATGTCTTTTATTCTGTGAAACAGAATTTAAACCCTCAATGGGAGCCAGTGTTGTCTGAACATTGACTTCTATAATATGTTCTTTAACGTTCCGAAGCAGAAATAAAATGTCATGTAGTTTTGGGACAACATGAGGGTGAGTATAGTAAATGAACAAAAATCTTAATTTTTGGCTGAACTATCCCTTTGAGAGCTGTCGTCATGGTGCCTACAATTGTTCTGGTGCATAAATAACGTCTGCCTCATAAAACTGTCCTGTCTAAACAAATTTTCCACAGATTCAGAGATACAACACAACATAAGGGGCCACATTACCAGCCCACATGAGAAGCCTGTAATGAGGACATTAATCAAAGTCAGGCATGTGTGGGAACTTGATTAAACGCAACAGCAAAGCCCAAGTCCCCTCTAGCTATTTTGTTGCTGTCTATTTTGAGCTGATCTTTAAGGATTGAGATCCCTGACTGAACAACACCCTCGAGCACACCTACATAACAATGAGGAGAATGCATTTAAATGCTCTACCGTATAGACAGGGAATGGAAGGTGGCAACTGTACTGATATTAGATCAGCTTGAAAGGATGACGTTGACAAATGTCCAGTCGGACAGGTCTATGGCGGTGGCATTTGTCAACGTCATCCTTTCAAGCTGATCTAATATCAGTACAGTTCTAGCATCTACTGTAATTGTAGAGACAAGGTGGAATGAGCTGGGAGACTAAGCGGCATGGTTCACTGTGGTCATGCCTGTGTGTGAGTTCCCTGTGATGGCAGAATCAGGGAAGAGTAAACAGAACCAGCACAGGAATGTTTCGGATCAGGGGATCTTACTCATAGCCAACGGGAAATGGGAGCTGGCAAGTGACGAAAACAAATCCCCCCAGTTCCCAACTGAGTAATGGTTCTGATCAGAACCAGCAAACTGAAATCTCACATTAGTGCCGCTGCCAAGCACACAGCTTTATCACTCTGATAGTCAGACTATTTAAATTTAATTACTGAGTTTAAATGAAATGATGACTATTGTATTCGTGTTAATAATTGTCCAATACTGTTTCTGGATGCTGCACAGGTCATGTTATGTTATAAAAACATGTCTTATTATATTATCTTACATGCTATATCAAAATGAAGCCTTTAAGTGTATTCATTTGTGAATGTGTTGATTTGTTTTTTTGCATAACTCCACAGAACATATATCTTTTATAATTATTAAAACAATTCTTTACACTGAAGGTCACAATTTCCAGCTAAACCCATTACATAATATAATTGCAATTTTAAAATCTAACCCAAATATAATTATACAAATCATAATTTTACTTTTAAATATATTTAGTGTTATTTTCTATCCTTGGAGCTGTGAGTTCATGCTGTTATACATACATATATATATATATATATTAAAAAAATCACCTCGAAGATCTGTTCAGGCTAATTTGTAAATGCTGCACTGATATATTACTGTAAAAACCTAATAAACAGTGTTAAAAAAAAAATAAAAAAAGAAGAGGAAGAAGAAAAAAAAAAAGTCACCTCTTCATAACACTGACATTATTTGTGTGTTCTGGTCAAGGAAAAAACATTTCACCACCAAAATATTCAAATAAGTCATTGTTAAAACGTGCAATATAGAGTTACATTATATGACTCACTGCTCTTACAAAATCAATTTAACCCTAGCTAGACCCTGTTTATAATGTGTATATTTGCATGTTATAACTAAATTTCTTTCTTTTTTATTTAACTTCATTTGAGTGAAAAAACATGCCACAGAGTTACCATATGTGAGCATTCAGTATACAGAAATGTGAAGTCTGCACTAGGTTGACTGCTAAAATAAGTTTTTACTACTAAATTTACTACTTATTTTGCCTGTAAAGGATATGTTTCACACAAAAAAGCATGCCACATATGCTAACCTTCTTAGTGATAAGATATATTGTAATTCTCGCTTAAAATGGCCCCTGGCAAGTGTGCTGCCATGAAGGTCCAGTAAAAAACAGGTTCTGAAGTGAATGGTTAGTCACCCAAACACATGCCTCTAGCTCAGGGGTAGGCAAGTTTGGTCCTAGAGAGCCGCAGACCTCCAGAGTTCAGCTCCAACCCTGAAAACAAACACATGCAAAGGGCAAAGTGGAACTACAGTCTTCCTCATGACCTTTGTGCTTATTCCAGAAATGAGAGTGGCAGCATGAAACAAAAGCTTTAAAATGTTTGTTAGTGCGGTCAAACGATTAATCGCGATTAATCACATCCGAAATAAAAGTTTTTGTTTACATAATACATGTGTGCTTTCTGTGTATATTTATTATGTATAAATAAATACACACAGATACAGTATATATTTTGAAAACATTTACATGTATTCATTTATTCATAACATTTATATTATATATAAATATATTTAATATAAAAACATAACATATGTTTCTTAAATATATACATGCATGTGTGTGTATTTATATATACATAATAAATATACACAGTACACACATATATTATGTAAACAAAACTTTTATTTTGGATGCGATTAATCGCGATTAATCGTTTGACAGCACTAGTTTTTATGCAATTCCTCTTTTAACTGTGCACTGTTATGGTCTTGTCTGTGAGGTTCTCACTTGCTTTTACCTCTGGCTTGTGGGAATATTTGAGCACAAGTCATTCTGTAGCCCTGGGTTGAGTTTGATGAGTAAACACAGCCTAGTGAGCCACGGTCACCTCAACAGAAACTATACAGCAAAAACAGACACAAAAAAAACAGCTCACGTCTAGGGAAACCTAGAAGAAAACCTGGTACAAATCTAACTCTACAATATCCAACTAAGAAACTAAATATCTGCTTCAATCATTATGGCTTTTATTGCAGTTTAAACAAATTAGGAGTTGTTATGTCGGTAAGCAAACATCAGCCATGAATGTGCACATACTGGATATCATTAACAAGAGGCTTCTCTGTACAGCTCCTGTCTGTTTAACAGTTTATCTGCTCTCAAAACTGAACAATATTTGATAGCACATGCTCACCGGTCCCCTTGACCTGCTTTTAGAAGCTGGTAGCACAAGGGAAGCCGCAAAAGAGACTAATGCAGATGAGAGAAACAGGAGAGGCAAGGTGAGAGGCGCTGAACGTGAGCTGGCAGGAGCACAGCAAAAAGGATCTCATTTCACAGCTGAAAGCCCATCTCTGTGCTTCTCAAGACCAACTCTTTAAGGAAACTGGGCTTGCATAGAGTCTAATCTGCTTTTTATTAGGGATAAAGTGATATTTCACATCAGTAATAAAAACATTATTATTACAAATTATTAAAACTGTGGCCTAGTGGTTAGCGCACATACTGTGACTGATTGAGCCATGAAGCTCTTGTTCTTTTCTCCTATGAAGCTCTTTAGGACATTAATGTCCTCAACTATACTGTTTGTACAAATAAAAATGGCAAAAAATAACAACCTAGCAACACATTTATGTAAACAAGTAGGTCTGCTTTGCATATACACTACTGTTAATTGGTTGGAAATATTTCTTAATGCTTTTGTAAGAAGTATCTTATTCTGCATTTATTTGATTAAAATAAGATGAATAAAATGGTTTTCTACTTTAATATATTTTAAAATGTAATTTATTCCTGTGATGCAAAGCTGAATTTTCAGCAGTCATTACTCTAGTTTTTAGTGTCATGATCCTTCAGAAATCACTATAATATGCTGATTTGATGCTCAAGAAACATTTCTTATTATTATCAATATTGAAGATAGTTTCTGCTTTATATTTTTGTGGAAATCATGATATCTTTTTCTAGGATTTTGAAAGTACAAAGTACAGCATATATGTAATTTTTTGTAACAATGTATAAGTCTTTAAAGTCCCTTTTGATCAATTTAATGCATCCTTGCTGAAAGAATTGATTTGTTCATGTGGGTGGCATGTAATAGCACATGACGTACATGATCTCCAGGAAGTGACAAGCTTGACATTAAATGGGGTTGATATCAATAGGAACAGCCATTCAGTCACCACAAAGAAAAACAAAGATTCAATGTCTAAGGGACAGATTAGGCAAATTTGCTAGTCAACATATGGTGCACATCACAATGAAAAGGTCAATAGAGATTTTCCAATTAAGGGTTTATTTCAGTCTAATTGATGTTTGCATTCATCTTTTTCAACTGGCTCTGTAAACGAACCATATAAATCTTAACTTGAACACATCAGTAGATATATTTTATAGTCAAGCAACTGGGGGTGAACTTCTAGATTGGACGTTTTTAATAAGCACAGTTTGGTGTAGTTCAGAACCAACAATAAAACAGCATCAAAGAAGCCAGCATCAAAGACGCGAGCTGATATTGAGAGAAATTAATTGCCACACCCAGAAATGTCTCTTTCTCTCTCTCTCTCTCTCTTTTCCCCACTGTATATATATATATATTCGTTAATGTAGAAAAATAGTGACTAATAGAGACCACAGATTTCAGCCATCCTCCTAGACCTTTCTCTTATTTAGGTGAGGGTTGCTGACTCTTCCAGAAAGAGTCTGGATTCCTCAGCAATCCTGTGGCGGAGTGACATAGAGGCTTTGAATGGGGGGGATGTTACTCAGCATGTACCACACATCTACAGCTCTTAATGCAAAACATATGCTGCCATACTGACCTACTATTCAGCATCTGGCAAAGAAAGAAAGAGGAAAAGAGGAGATAGTGCAGAGAAGGAAAAAAGAAAGTGAACAATGTTACCACCCTACCAGATACAGCTTAACCTGTAAAACAGCTTCTGAAATATGGAGACCAATCACAATGGACCCAGATACACCAGAGGAAACAAGAATGATATTTACTCAATAGCTTTCTTTAATGTTTATACATCATTTTGGAGAAGAGTAATCTTGCATTTGTGGCCTGTTTTAAAACAAAGTGTTCAGTGTATTGAGCCCGAAGATATCAAGGGCATTATGGACTAAAATGTCCTCATACTACATACACAAAGCTTTATGATATATTTTCTAAATACAGTAGTTCAGTCAACAGAGTGATATATCACATAATCAACCTAAATTGCTCTTGCACTGCTGGTATACATAAAATTGGGCACTGTAACAGACATTACCGCTAGTTCATATTTCAGAAATCATTCCATTTCCTTTGAGCTGTCATGAGCAAAATGAGTAGACTCATAAAGGATACTCTGACGCAAAACTGCAGTCAAAACAAATACAGCTACAAACTCCACCTATTAATTCCACAGATATAGTTATATAGAATACATACTTGCAGGTCACACTGAGCTTGGCCTCATATGTGACATTCTATCATTAGAAATGAATGGGGACTTTACAGGCAATGGTAACATTAAAGAATAATGCTTGTACACTCTTCTAGAGTCAGTTTTAGTCTAATTTACAGAAGCAATAAGCACAACTTAATTGATCACTAATGATTTCTGTGATATTGTGACCACATGAGCACAGCTAACCACAAGTCGGCTTATTCTGTGCAGAAAAAATGCTTTACTAAGACCGACTGATAATATTGCAATACATACTAAATACCACAGACAGCATTGAGCATCTACAAAAAAGGTTTGTCCTATATACATAAAGCCTAAGGTAAACTAGTTCCACCGGCTGCATGGCTTGCAGAGAATGTTTCTGCGTGCATTGAAGAGACAGCTGAACTGGATTTACTTGTTTTTCACCTGATCTGTACCTGTTCTTCACCAGCTGACAGGCTGAAAAAGACACTGAATTTGAGACAAGCAGGGTCTGTGAAAGCATCCTACCATGGGATCCAGGGATCACACAAAACCGAAACGTTTCAAGCGTAACAGAAGCCTAATATTGCTTGAGGAGCTATGAAAAAAATGGTGTCGCTTTCAACCATAACAGGAGGAAACTGTCTCATTGTGCACACACGCATAAGCACATGCTTATTCAAAGCAGAACCCAGCCCATCCTTATAGGAATATGTACGGAAGTGAGTTTCACATGCGACTACACCTACCTGCATCTCTCTGTGTCCTGTAACCATGGACACTAATGTGTGTAACTTACAGTTTTCCACTATTACATAAGACTAAGCCAGGTTGGCATGACAGAATATGTTAATAATGAGTTAAAAACAGTAACTGCAATGTGTCTAACAGGAACACTGATCTGGGAAAGTGGAAACACAATGGTTTCTATCTGTCACAAGCCTGGACAAACACATAGTGCCAAAAATAGCAAGAAACTGGGTTGTAACCAGGACCAGTATAAGTACAACCTGTTCAAGGAGGGCTGAGAAAGGAGAGGCTGTTTCCATCTAAGTGAACAAGAGAAGGAGGGCAAACAATAGCTGAATATGACACCCAGCTGAGGCTGTTTATCTAGCTAGCAGACCAGCCACTACATTCATAAGATGTTAACAATAACTAAAAACGTGCATAGGGTTCACATACATACACAAATCTCCAGTAAATTTAAATGTATGTAATTAATATAGAATGAATACCAAATGTTTAGTATTAGTTTGTACTTGTTTTGACCACACTGAAAAAAAGCTTTTTATCTGGATTTTGAGCATTCATGATGCCAATATCCTATAGGATTCGGTGAATGGTCACATCCACAGGGATGTGTAATCTAGCAGCTGTTAAAATTCGTTTACTTGATGTAAATGACCACAGAAAGAAGTTAAAAACAATAACACCGAGCAGCTGCTGTAAGCTACTGCATGTCGATAAGGATGCTGGAAAACGGTTTCCAAAACAGGAGCAGTGTCCCTTGTGTTTATCTCTGCACGTGACTGTGATAAGTATATTTTCACTCACCATTTTCATTCGTTTATCACACCGCAGCCGACCTTCTTTTATCCGTTTTGTAATTGTTTATTAAAGCAAAACAAGCCTATTAAAAGTCTCTGGGTGATGTCACGGTCACGGTCTCGTTAAATGTCTCCTCAGGACCAGTGTCGCCGCTCCATAATACTGAAGACCGCGCCGGTAAACCGCTCGAGCGCACTGACTGTGCTGCAGCGTGCGTCTGCTCTACAAAGTTCAACTTTGTGTCTGCTGGTTGACGGAATCAAAGAGGCAAACAACCATAAATGGAGAGTTTCGTGCGTCGCCTTTGGCCAATAGGAGCGCCGCTCGGAGCGTCATTCCGAAGGGAATCCCACCAGATGATTTTGGGTGTATTAAAGCGCGTCCTATCTGCGCAGCTAGGCTGCATAAACTAAATGACCAAATCAACTGAACGGTAAGGTAAAATAGAATATAGCAATATTATTGAAGCAATCGATCTAAAGATGAAGTATAGGTTATTATTATCTCTATTTAGTTATTTACAGGTCTTAACCTTTTATTTGATTATTTATTTATCATTTTGATTGTGAAGTGTCTACATGTTACATTCTTTTATGAAAACAATGTAATCCAGATTTTTCATGTACATTTTTTTAAATATATTTTTATAGTCTATTTTTTATTTTTTTAATATTATTATAAATAGTATATGTTAGTTATTATTATTATTATTGTTATTATTACTGTTATTATATTGCTTGTCAATGATCATAACATGTTTTAAATGTTCATCTTACTTCACAAAGATCTTTGCAGGCCTGTAAGCCAATATTCACCTTTAAGCAGCTCATATTTCTAGAGGAACCTTTTAGTTCACAATTTTTTGAGGAACCTTTGACAACTTTTTGAGAGAAACCTTGTGATAGAACATATTCATAAACATATTCATATATTCATACAGTCAACCCTAAGCTAATAAAAAAACTAGGACTGACAAAATGATTCACTCCACTCAGCCATCTATTTACAGCTGTGAAGCTAGACATCTGGACTAGGTTTTGTGTAATAGCCGCAAACTGCTTGTATAGGTATAAATTAAAGAGTACACTCCTGTCCAGAAGTCTGGGCTTAATTTAATTTTTTAGAAATCATTACTTTCATACAGCATGGGCACATTTAACTGATCAAAAGTGACAGTAAAGATTTTCATGATGTTACAAAAGATTTCTAGACATCTAAAAAAAAAAAATCATGATTTCCATGATTTTTCGGCTAATACTTTAATAATCACACTGATAATAATAAGACATTTTTTTAGCATCAAATCAGCAAATTAGAATGATTTCTGAAGGTTCGTGCGACACTGTAACTGACTGGAGTAATGGAATAAATTACATTTTAAAATATATTAAAATAGAAAAAAGTTCCAAATATTTTTTTTGTTTTTACTATATTTTGATCATGTAAATGAATCACCTTTTTCTAAAACATTAAAAATGACCTCAGACATTTAAAATTGTAGTGATTGCGTTATATTTTATTATATTTTCAACCTGTCCATCATCACAAGCATATATGGCATTCAGGTAGGCATTACAATTTAAATGGAAATACAAGAGAATTTTTTTTATATAGTTGTATTTGAGAAAGGGTTTTCTAAGTAAAGAAGAATTAGTATGGAGTCACTGATCTATAATAGATCAGTGTATGGAGTATTTAGGGGACAGTCTTGACCTTATTGAAACTATGCATGCAGGATTACAATTATTCCAGCAGGTGGCGCCATGGGTCCATTAATACCCTTCAACTAAAATATGCATGATATGAAAGCAATCTATTTATATGCATATGTGCTTTTTTTCGACATTGCAACGCAATTAAGATCATTTAAATATTGGGCATATAAAGATTATTCTCTGCGAATATTTCAAATTTTAGAATGACAAATTCTAGCTCAAAGTTCACATTTTGAATTAAATATATGTGTTAAAGCACTTAATATATTTTTTTATATAATAAACAATATGAATATTCGCATTTAAAAACAAAACGCTCCAGTGGTCCACAGGGCTCGCCATAGCTCACTCCTCCTCCTGTTTTTTTGTGGTCCAGAGCTCAAGCACGCAGCACGCTGCACCTCCCCATTCCTCCTCTTATAAACATGGCTGAACTGAACACGGACGGTGAATTATAGGACTGAATCCGTCTGCTGCAGCACCACCACAGGACTCACACTCTCTCTCTCTCTCACACACACACACACACACACACACTGTTGATTCAGACAAGAAGACTGAACATGACGTAAATGTTTACAGCAGGAAACTAAAGCAGCAAAACTTTGAGTTTGACAGCCGCTAACGAAGAGACTTCAGCGGGACAGACCACATCCAGCTGAGATACTACTGCAAGCGAAGCACAGACTTAATACTGCTTTTGCGTTTATGGAAACTATGTTTTTAAACACACCGTCTACTGAAGAAACCCTGGATGTAATGCTTTGATGTAGCCCGAAACAGTTTTAAGAGTTTAGGCTGCTCTTATATGGATTTACAGTTCGCGTTTTTGTCATATCGTCCCGTTTAAATGATGTTCTCCGGTAAACAAACGAAGCCGACTTTTAAGTCTTATCTTCCTCCACTTCAGGTAAGTGAGACACTAGCATGCTAACGACTAGCAGCTAAAGAAAAAGTCATCATAATCGTTTACTATTCTGCACTTGTAACGTATATGTATGTTAAGAAAACTGTCATCTGGACGACAGGTAACCTCATAGTTAAGACTTCACTTGGTTTGATTGAGGTATCCTCCGTAACTCAGGTGTGAGCTGTTCACAGTGGTTACTTTGTTCATGATTTTCGTCAAAATGACCACCACAGCAGTAGTACCACAGGGTAAGATGGAGCTAGATGCCCTCCTTTAAGAACAGTGTGCGTTTAGATACAAATTTAACATGTGCAGGATGTTGCTGCATCAGCCAAAGTGTTACTAATGGAAATGAATGAATAACATGATGTGCGACATGTACATCTAACTCATGGAAGTTTTGAATTATAGGAATTAGTGTGTCAAATTCCCCATTGACAAAGACACAAACAAACTTTTGACATTCAACACAATGCAGCGTCACAGATCACCAATCCTCAGAGACACAAAAGTGGATCATTTATTCTCGAAACCTGATTACAAATGTTGATATTCAGATCAAATGACTAATTGGAGAAGAGCATAGCCACTCGTTAAATGTTGAGATGAGATTTTGTGCCGTATGGTCAAGAGAAAAATGTAAGTGTAAAGATCTACTTTGTCTTGCGTACTTGAAAGTGGTTAGGTGATATTAAGTGTTCTTAATCTTTTACACAGACTGATTTGAAGAAAAGTCCTCAACTGCCCATCAAGAAACTAGAAGCGAAACTTCTACCAGGTAAGAAAGAAAAAAGGTGCATCAGTTCTTTTGGCAAACAACTCATAACCGTCACAGGGTTGGGGTGGTGTTGCTTAGTAGTTGAAGATATGGTCTTGCAACTGAATGTTTGTTTCGAACCCCGTTGGCCTGTTTCATAAAGCCAGTTTCAGTGGCTATCCATTTAAGTTTGAGCAAACTCAGTTTTTTCAGGTTCAAGAAGATGGATTGTTTTTACTTGTGTTCGTCACCATTATAAGATCAGCTGTGAGCAAAGTGACATATCTAACGCATTAAAGTCACTCACTGCATTTCTTCTCCAAATTAAAGTAGTTCACAGCTTAAGCAATTAAGAAGAGCATAGACACTCATTAAATGTGTTGAAATTAGTTTTTGGGCCATATATGTTCAAGAGAAAAATGTAAGTGTAAAGATGGATTGGTGATTTGAAGCATTTATTGTTATTCTATCCTTAAAGGAACACTCCACTATTTTTGAAAATAGGCACATTTTCCAACTCCCCTAGAGTTAAACAGTTGAGTTTTACTGTTTTCAAATCCATTCAGCCGATCTCCGGGTCTGGCGGTAACACTTTTAGCTGCAGTTTAAAATCAGATAATTTAATCTGATTAGACTGCTAGCATCTCGCTCAAAAATGACCAAAGAGTTTCTATATTTTTCCTATTTAAAACTTGACTCTTCTTCTAGACAGCATTTTAATGCCTCACTTCATTATTTGTGAATTGTAAATAAAGCAGGTGTAAGGCTAAGAGGATATTATTTTTTAATTATTGACTTTCTCTCTCATGTTGTACCAAACATGTATGTCTTTCATTCATCTGTGGAATGAGAATGGTTAAAGTTCCACTTTCATGATCCATTTATGGTGATTTTGCATCATTTTTGAAGTAGCTCCAGAAGAGCAACTGGTACATTTCTAACAAAAGTCTTGTTAGAAATGTACTAGTTGCTCTTCTGGAGCTATGCTTCAAAAATGATGCAAAATCACCATAAATGGATCATAAAAGTGGACATTATGTCTTATTCTCTATATTCCATGTGTTCTAAATCCATGTGATAGATTTGAGTGAGAAACAGGAACAGAAACATATTAGGCTTGTTTGAAGGCGAGGGTAGGCGGCTGCAGTGAGGGGAGGAGTGAAATAAGCGCAGTCAAGACGGACAGTTCTGACCTCTCGAAGTGGAGCAGATACCTACGAGAACAAAGACAGATATCGCGTTATTCTCACTCATGTGCTGTGCTGCTGATAAACATGATATAATTTCAGTTCTGTTGCTTTTATATGAAAATAAATATGATGAACAAGACACTCAAAGTGCTTGCTATTTAATTCCATATGAAAGGTGTATTTATCATCCATTTTTACTTTAATACAAACATGTATTTGAGATATTTATAGAAATATGACAACAGTCACATATCTCACACAGAGATCACACTGTCATAGTGTTTGGGAACATTCATGCATAATTTAAATACATAATCACATGAAATCAGATAAAAAATCAAACATTTTAGAACGCAGCATCACAGTTGTCTGAACCAATGAGCATTAAGCTGTGTCGTTTCCCATCATGCTTTTGATCAGCGCAGTCGGTGGAGAGCAGCTGCGCTCGACTGCACAATCCGACACAGCCGCCTCGCTATCGCGAGAGTTTCTTGGCACACGTCAGCATGACATCAGAGCAAGTCGGACGTACCTCGGACACTTTTCTAACCGGCATGCATCTCGCTGTGACCGCCGGTGATCGGTTCTGCGCAGATTTTGCTCATCTCAAACAAGCCTATTATCACTGATAATCTTGTTCTCTTGAGAATTGCTGTAACCAGCATTGTGAACTGTATCTCTTCAATCATAACCGAAATATAGCCGCTGCGACTACATTAATCCAGATAGGCTATATTTGAAAACAGCTCTTTCATTTCGAAATGCTCTCTGTCCACACTTGTTTCCAAAATGTACTCATCTAATACCTCAGTTTTCACAGTGCGCACTACAATGCGAAGACAGCATTTGCAACTTTATGCACTTAGGAGAGCATCTTCAAAAAGCCACCTTAGTGTGGACTGAAGGCCAAAACTCAGAGAAAAAGATGTTTTCAAATGCTTCCGGATTACTGTAGATTTAGCTTCAGACCAGTTTTGTGAATTGGATTAACTGGTTCATTAAAAGATCTAACTCAAAAGAATGATTTAATTACGAAAAAAATCCAAAGCTAAAATTTGATTCAGAAGACTATAACAAAACATATAAATCATATAGACTTCTCTTCTCTTTTCTTTTGTTTTTGACTTTTTGAAGCTTTGAAATGTTTTAATTTTTTTGTAATTGCATGGAAAAGAGTGACCAGTGCATGGTGCCTTCCATGAAAGAAAGTCATATTGGTTTTGAACAACATGAGAGTGAGTAAATGATGAGAGAATTTCATAATTTTGGGTAACCTATTCCTTTAAATCAGCTCTCATGCAGAATGTAAATATTTGTTGCTTCTATGGCAGCATTGAGAACATTTACCTTTTCATTTACATTTAAATTCGTTTAGCAGATGCTTTCATCCAAAGCGACTTACAAATGAGGACAATTAAACCAACAAAAGGCCAACAATATGTAAGTGCTTGGGCAAGTCACAGTTTGTCTAACACATTACATGTAGCAAAGTTAAATAATAGGAAAAAATAGATAGATAGAATAGAAAGTGTTAATTTCCATTTCTTGAAAATGGCTAAAGACTGCTCGGGTTGAGTTCAGCGGGTCATTCCACCAGCAGGGAACAGTGAAGGTAAAGGTCAGTGAAAGTGATTTTGTGCCTCTTTGGGATGGCACCACAATGCGCTGTTCACTTCTGGAGTGCACAGAAGCCTGAACTAGTTTAGGCATATGGGTGCAGAGCTAGTGGTTGATCTGTGGGCAAGCATCAGACTGATAAATTGATAAAGCAGCTTGTTTGGCTCTTGTTTGCTCAGCTTTAACACTTTCAAAACTCGTTCGATGTCTGCTAAATCAAGAGGTCAATATCATGATGACGTGTCTGTAGGACATGGATTCTGTTCCATCATGGTTTTAAAAATGTGATCTACCTGTTCCTGTATGTCTTATAATTGCCATTGCCAAGTGCACCTGAATTGGGTGTGTACCCATTTACCTTTAATCCTAATGTCCTGGTTCTTCTGAATAAAGGCTTCATGTTCTGACAGGTAGTTTCAACCTCACAGTCTTATTATACCTGTGAGGCTTTGCCTTTTGTTCTGTCCTAACCTTTCTAACCCATGCAATGGCAGATCAGCTATTTCCAAGCCATTAACAACACTTATCAGCTCCCCCTCTGTGATGGCAGAGGTTTTAATGCATCCGGACAGTTTCTCTGTTCCTAGAAGTGTTGGGAAACGCACAGAAAGGCGACTATAGTGCCGTGGTGTCTGGAGAAGGACTCTGCGTTTAGGCGTTCACTCCTTATAATTAAGCCTTCCCTGTTTCCAAAATAGATGTACTGTGCATTTTTTAGTTCTTCATCTGAAAGTAAAACTAAACCTCCCTTGTCACTGTGTTTTGTGAACTGTGGTGATAGTAGGGTGGCACGCAGTGTGGTGAAGTTACTGCATTTACAACAGTACTACATTTACTGCAGTTAGGCCTACCTCTTTTTTTTTAAAGAAAGTATTTACTTTTATTTAGCAAGTACATGTGAAATTGAGCAAAAGTGACAGTTAAGACATTTATAATGTTACAAAAGATTTTTCAAATAAAATGATGTAAAATACATATTTCAATAAATAAAAAAACACTTATTTTGAATTTTCAAAACAATTGTTTACTGTTTTTACAATTTTACAATAATTTTACTGTTTAAACTGTATTTTTGATAAAAATAAATGCAGCCTTGGTGAGACTTCTTTCAGAAACATAAAAAAAGGTCTTACCTACCCCAAACTTGTGAATAGTAGTATATCTTGTAGGTCTATTTACGCTAAGTCAACATGGATATAATACTTGCAGTGCACATACAATATAATAATTAATTAATAAAAGTTTGCATTTATTTATGTTTCACTCAATCTAACTTGTGTTCCTGTTCCTGAATTCTTGCAGGAATTAAAATTCTGTTCTATTTCGAAATAAAATTGAAAAAAAAAAAAAAGTCCAAATCTGTCATTTTAAAGGCACGTTTCACAGCAATTTCAGCATCACGTTGTAATTTACAGTATGAAAAATAGACACTTTCTGTGTCTGTGTTTGCCGACATGTAAAGAAAATAGACTTATAGTCTGTCTTAGTCATTCTCTAAGGATTGTTTTAGTCCTGCATGTGGTGACATTTTAGTAGAATGTATCTATTCAGATTGACCTACTTGACTGCTCCATTTAAATCTCTCCACCGCTCTACACACACATGGAGGCCCAATGTGCCTAGTCATCTCAACAAAACAAGCCCGTTGTCTCATGAACAGTGTTCTTTTACAAACCCACGCACACATTCTCTCTCTCTCTCTCTCTCTCTCTCTGTTTGGCATCTTGTTATCATGTTGCTCTAATCCATTTACGTGTAACTTTTGCAGCACAATGCAACAAGAGAGAATTCCTGTTCTGAACTCGATCCGATCTTAAGAACAGCCTGTGCTACACTTGCGGTATTCAGCATCTTCTCTCCGTGCTTTAGCCATCAACACCATTTTAACTTTTAACTCTGCTATAATTGCTGTACACATTCAAAGCTAAAAAAAATGCAACCAAAAGTGTACTGATAAAACATGCCAGCCACCTAAACACCCCTTTTCTAACCGGATGTAAACACAGGAAGCCTGATATCATGATCATATCTAAATATTTGATGCTGTGATTTTTAGGTGCAGACTACCTTTAACTTGTCATGGGTCGTTTAATAAAGTAGTTTTAAAGGGGTCATATGATGTTGCTAAAAAGAACATTATGTTGTGTATTTGGTTTAATGCAATGTGTTTATGCGGTTTAAGGTTAAAAAAACACATTATTTTCCACATAATGT